CATCTGTAGTGACTGACAAAACCACCTATTCAGGCAGAGAATTCCATATCTTTATTGCTCTTACTGTAAAAAAACCTTTTCTTTGCCTTAGATGAAATCTCCTTTCTTCCAGCCTAAATGTGTGACCTTGTGTCCTATGTATAGCCCTGTTTATGAATAGATTTCCAGATAAAGGTTTGTACTGGCCCCGAATATATTTGTATAAAGTTATCATATCCCTCTCAGGCGCCGTTTTTCCAAACTAAACAGATTTAATTTTTTTAACCTTTCTTCATAACTAAAATGCTCCATTCCTTTTATCAATTTTGTAGCTCGTCTCTGGACTTTTTCTAGTGCCATGATATCTTTCTTTAGAACAGGCGCCCAAAATTGCACAGCATATTCAAAGTGTGGTCTTACCAGCGATTTATAAAGAGGCAAAATTAGATTTTCATCCTGAGAATTTATGCCCCTTTTTTATAAATGACAAAACCTTACTGGCCTTAGCAACTGCAGATTGACATTGCATATTGCTGCCTAATTTGTTGTCTATAACAATTCCCAAATCCTTCTCGTGTGTGGTTATCCCTAATTCACTACCATTTAGTGTGTAAGTTGCTTGTGCATTCTTAACCCCGAAGTGCATAACTTTGCATTTCTCTATGTTAAATTTAATCTGCCATTTTAGTGCCCAGTCCCCAATCTATCCAAATCTCTCTGCAGCAAAGCAATATCCTGCTCACATTTTATTACTTTACAAAGTTTTGTGTCATCTGCAAACACTGATACATGGCTTTCAATGCCTATTTCAAGATCATTTATAAATATGTTAAATAGAAGTGGTCCCAATACAGAACCTTGAGGGACACCACTTACCACTTTTGTCCAGCCTGAAAATTTACCATTAATTACAACTCATTGTACTCTATCCTTAAGCCAGTTGTTCTACCCAAGAACAAGAATATTCATCTAGACAGTAGTGTATCCTGGTTTTGTGCTGCCCTAGGCAGGACAAAACTCAGGCACCCCTCTCCCCCCGTGCCACCCCCACCCAACCCTTCCCCCACCCCACCTTCTAAATACACACACACACAGTCAGACACACACACACACACACACACAGTCACACACACACACAGTCAGACACAAACACACACACACTCAGACACACACAGTCAGACACACACACAGTCAGACACACACACACACACAGTCAGACACAAACACACACACACAGTCAGACACAAACACACACTCAGTCAGTCAAACAAACACACACACAGTCAGACACACACACAGACACACACACAGTCAGACACACACACACAGTCTCACACTAACACTTTTTTTTTTTATTTACCCCCCACCCCCCAGCCTCCTTACTTTTGGGAGTGCTGGGGGGGGGTCTCTCTCTCCCTGGTGGTCCAGTGGCTGCCGGTCAGGCTGGGCGGCGCTGGCTGCTGGGCGGGCGGCTGGCGATGGAGCTCTTCCTCTGAGCTGACTGCTCAGCTCCCTCGCGCGCCGCAGAGTGAGGCTGGGAGCCAGAATATGACATCATCAACCCTGCTCCCAGCCTCACTCTGCGGCGCGCGAGGGAGCTGAGCAGACCGCTCAGAGGAAGAGCTCCCTCGCCAGCCGCCTGCCTGACCATCAGCCAGCGTTTTTTGCCGCCCCCTGAAAAATGCCGCCCAAGGCAAATGCCTTGTTTGCCTCGCGGCTAATACGTCCTTGCATCTAGACCAATTTCCTTTAGTTTGAAGACTAACCTATTGTGAGGAACCGCATCAAATGCCTTGGCAAAATCCAAGTAGATCACATCCACTGCAACACCCTGATGTATACTTCTACTTACTTCTTCGTAGAATGCAATTAGGTTAGTTTGACATGACCTATGTTTCATAAAACCATACTGATTATTGCTAATAACAAAGTTCTTCCCAATGAATTCCTGAATATTATTCCTTAATAGCCCTTCAAATATTTTCCCAGTTACAGAAGTTAAGCTCACAGGTCTATAATTTCCAGGCAAGGATTTTGAACCCTTTTTAAATATAGGAACAACATCTGCCTTCCTCCAATCCTCCGGTACAACACCCGAAACAAAAGAATCTTAAAAAATTAAATACAGAGGTTCACTTATTTCCCCACTTAGCTCCTTAAGTACTCCTGGGTGAATACCGTCAGGCCCCGGAGCTTTATTTACATAAATTTTCTTTAATAGCTGTAGCACCTTGTCTTGAGTTATCCAATTACAAGTTATTTGCAAGTTTTTTTGCAGCAATCATTTGCATATCTCTTGCCATAGGATCCTCATTAATATATACTGAAGAAAAATAGTTATTTAAAATTTCTGCTTTTTCCTGGTCTTCATTAGCTAATAAACGCAACTCTGTTTCCAGTGTACCTACACTTTAATTTTTTGTTTTTTTTAGAATTGATGTACTTGAAAAAAATAATATTATTATGATTTATATAATATTTTGAGTCAAATAACTAAATTAGAGCTACAGCTACAAGAATTTAATAAAGTATTTGAAGAAGACGAATTGATCTTCTGTTTTAATAAACTTAAAAACAATACATCCCCAGGACCTGATGGGTTTGACAATCTCTTCTTTAAATTACTGAAACACAATATCAAAACAGATTTGATTGAAGTTTTTAATCTCTTTGGAACAACCGAAAAGATTCCAACAGAATTACTACAAGCGAGCATAGTCCCAATTCCTAAACAAGGAAAAGATATAGAAAAAATCAAGAACTACCATCCAATTTCCCTTCTAAATACGGATATAAAGCTATATTCGGCCATGATAGCAGAACGTTTAAAAAGGATCATACCAGATGTGATAGACAGGGATCAGGTGGGATTTGTCCCTGGTAGATCATCTACTCATAATATAAGAAGACTGATTGGTGTGCTGGATCACGCAACAAGAACCGGGGCTCCCATGTTGGCCCTGTCTTTAGATGCTGAAAAAGCATTTGACAGGGTCAGCTGGGAGTTCATGAGGCAAACCCTTCATGCATTTGGGTTAGAGGGAAGACTCTTTCAGAATATATCAGCTCTCTATACAACACCTACGGCTAGAGTGGTAGGAAATGGCTTTGGATCTGAATGGTTCTCATTGCTAAACGGAACAAGACAAGGATGTCCCTTGTCTCCGCTACTTTACATCATGGCATTAGAACCATTGGCCTTAGCCATAAGACAAGACCAGGGAATAGTAGGTTTTGATTTCAATAAAGTAAATATAAAAATAAACTTATATGCTGACGACGTCATCTTAACAATACAAAAACCTCTACAATCTATAATACAACTTATGGAAACCATTGGGAGTTTTTCCCAGGTCTCTGGATACAAAATAAACATAGAAAAATCATCGATTTTAGCTGTAAATGTAAATAAAGAAGAAAAAAATGAGATTATGAAGAAATTTAATTTCGCAGGGGTCGAAAACTAATTTAACTACATAGGAATTAATATATGTACTGACCCATTGAAAATAGTAGAGATTAATTTTCTTCCATTGCTGATTAAATAAACTCCTAAAGGGCTGGAAGAATTTAGCATTTTCGTGGTGGGGCCGTATTAATATTATTAAGTCTTACATCTTACCAAAATGGTTATATTTGTTTAGAATGATCCCTCTGAGTGTCCCTGATAGTTGTTGCTATTAACAGGCTTGGCAAACAAAGAAACCTAGAATGGCAAGAAAACTCCTCTCGACCAACCAATCTAAGGGAGGGGTAGGATCTCCACTCATACAACAATATCATAAAGCGAGTATCCTTTTCCATAGTATCATTTCACAATCGACTGGGGCTAAGCTAGAAAAGTGGTACGCGGTGGAAAAGGAACTTGCAGAAGGTAGGGAGCTAGTAAAAATTTTTTGGTTTACTCAAGAAGGAGACAAAAATAAAACCCAACCAAGCTCTGGTAGTGTGGTAATTGAATCCATTAGATGAATGTGGAGTAAGATAAAAAAAAGTGCAGGATTTAAAAACCCCATTATTAATACTCTACCGATCTCAATATTGGAAAATAATATACAAGACCTAAGACTAAATAAATGGAGAAGAGCAGGTATACAAACCATAGAAGATATAACAACAGGACTCTGGGTTAATTTGTTTGAACAAATATGCACAAATTTCAGTCTTCCCGAAACTGAGAAATTTAATTACATGAGGATTAAAAGCTATCTGAATAAAACTTTAAAGAAAGAGAAATGGGAATTTAACAATAAACTAGGAAATTTACTGAAAGGAAAGGACATGAAAAATGTACTAAATAAGAGTAATTCGGTATTGAGACAACTAGAGGGTGACCCGACATTTCCAGCAATAAAAAAATGGGAGAAAGATCTAAAAATACAAAAAATTGATGGTCAAGAGTGGAATACAGCATGGTTGACAGTTGCTAGGCGCATTAAATGTCTAAATTTAGTGGAACTACATTTCAAGATTATTAATAGACTCTACTTGGTTCCTAGTCGTCTAAAAAAAAATAGACCAGAGTAAAACAGATATATGCTGGAGATGTGAAGAAAAAAAAAAAAAAAAAATATGCTTATATCTCCATGCGGATAGTGGAGGCAAATTCGGGCTCTGATAGCAACTAATCATTATAGTCCGATCATGTGATCTCAACTATATCACACTAGAGACCTGAGCCAGAATCGCTCTATCCAAGAGTAATGCGCATATTCGGGTGTAGGTGTTATGTACCCGCGAATAGAATTTATAATCTCGCTCAGTAGGGTGGAGAGCCCTCCAGGCATCATACAGGTCATGTAACGAGATGAGTTTGGTTATCGTTTTACACACTTTCTCTCTGGTTCGGTGGCTGTGGGTGAAAGGTAAATCTGCTACTCTGGTGACTCGGTCCCTCTGGTCACTATTCTCCAACCCTCGATTGTCAGCTGAATATTCAGGAAAGATTTTTATGGAAGCGTATTAACCAGACACACACTCTTTGCTTTCCATAATCTTCAAATGTATTATAAAAAGGATGGCATATTTATACAGTATTGATTATGAACTTTGACATACATTGGTTATAATGTGCTTACAAAAGATAAATGTTGCTAAAAGCGGAAATAGCTGATCTTGCAAAAGACCACGGTTAATGTTAGTTTGCGGATGCGTCTGTTGATTCAAAAGCAGAAGTGATAAATCAAAAATAACCTGTGGTTTGTCTAGTTTTTAGCTCTTGTGTAAATCTTAAGAAAGAGAATATAATATCAGAAATTATAGATGAGAATCATTAACCCCTTCCCTTCATTCCCCTCTTTGAGCAAGACCTTGCTCATACCCCATTTGGGTTGTTTTAGCCAGGGTAGCTGTTCATGGTATATTCAGAATTGCTAGCCAATTCTGCAGGACTTTCATTATTTCTTCGGCCACTATTCCCATGGCATATACCCTGGCTAACATAGATCACATGTAGATATTTTGGGGAGTATAGCTATCATGCATGTAGAATTGTAAGTATTCCGCATACACTGGTGGTGGAGGTAGTGGACGTGATGGGGGTGTGTGTTTGTAGATGCAGAATATCACTCTTACAAGTACATAAAAGAAGAGAGAGATAGAAGCCCCCATAACCAAGATCAGACCTATGGTTTTTACTGAATTAAGGATAGAAGAGAAATTAAACCAATCACCCCAGTAATTATCTACTCCAGAGTTACTCTTTATTTCCTTTGCCAAATCTTCTAATTTCTGTATTGCTAATGTTACTTTTCCATTGGGGCCAGTGTTCTGAGGGATATAGGTGCAACATACTCCTGAGGCAATGTATTTACAAACCCCCCCCTTTCTCCGCTAGAATCATATCTAGGGCCATTCTATTTTGAAAGGTCATCTGGGAGGTAGCTTGTAATTGTTCAGCAAGGCCTTGTAGGGCATCTTTAGTATAATTAATGAACCTTTGCTGATTGCAGTCATTCTCAACTCAGCAGAAAAAAAACAAAACAAAAAACACTTAATACTTTTGCAGACAGATATATAGAAAATGGATGTTTAAGACAGAATGGAACTTGGGCTTATAGCAACTATATTATTGCACAACCAGGACCTTGCGTCCTATATCTTTTAACCATTTTCCTATTCCAAAAGTCCAGTCAAAACCAGTCATATCCTCACGCAGTTCCTCAAAACATGGGAATCCATCCTTGGCACACTCAACATATATCAAAAACACACATAGTACATCCATCCCTGGGTCAGCTAACACTTCCTTTCTCTCCGGCTAACTCTACAAAAATAAAAATAGTTCAATAGTTCAGAAAAATAGAATAAGTCTTTCACAGAGTATAAAGAAATCAGTTTAGACACCAGACATTTTGTTCCATAAAATGGCTAGGGTAGCAATATGGCTGACAACAAGACAATGTCAGCTTCCTCATAGTTCTTCTTTTGTTTGCTGGATTTTCACCACAATGCTCTGTGCAACACCCCAATGGTTGAAAGGGTTATTACAGAACCAGCGGTATTAGACAGCACTGCACCTTCAGGACTTTCCAGGTTCTTACGTGCAAAGTTTATGTCCTCATAAGTAAGTATCTCAGTTTCTTCGGCCTGCATGGATAATGACCAAACAGATGTAATTGCAAAATACTTATTGCATGGTCAGCCAGAGAGATTGGTGTGTAGTCCCAGAAATCAGGCGGCACAAACACTCCAGGACGGTCTCTACAATCATACAAACACAAGGATCAATACAACATCAATTAATTAACTACCTAGGCTAAAACTTAAATTAGAGATTAAGGTTAAACCCTTAACTTGTGTAACATGTACTTCTCTTATATTTGCTTATATTTTATGCAATCTGTGTTCTATGAAGTTTTACATAATTTCCCTTTGGAATGCCTTTGTACGGATGAGAGAAGCACTCACTCTATAGAAATGCTTGTTAGGATGAATATTAAAACACTAACATATACATATGGGGATAATTCCCAATAAAACTCTGTTCCTAAACTGGAACCTTGATTTGATATTCAAAATTAATTACTTTAATACTCCCGAATAATTCAATACTCTCGGATTAACACCTAAAACTATGTAAAATATTAAAAACATGAACCATCTGTGTATTAGGCTGGGATTGTTGGGTGTGGGTATAGGTTAGAAGCTATGGTTGATATTGAGGAATCTATGGGGGTGGGTTTGGGCACTCATTTTTTCAGTGACCCTGCTATCCACAATTGCTGTATCTTCCCAAAAAAATAATTTGGGGTCAAAAAGGGCCAGTCACAGACCAACAAGGAACAAAAGTGAACAAGGAGGAAGCATATTCCATATGCAGGTCGGGATTACTTAACTCACACCCCCTCTTTGTGTACCCCTCTTTGTACCACACAGATTTAATATTAATAAGCTTTTAAAGGTTGAATGGATAGTTAAATTTTGTATATAAAGCAAGGTTGTCTAGGGGTATATACATATAGGCATAGCCTTCATATAGGGCTTGCAATACTGACAGTCTGTGTCATGAGCGTAATGCAGACATGCGGTTAGGTACTTTTCCATTGTTATAATATATTGAAAACACTAAGACTTTGCAAATTTTTAAAACACATATTGCTTCCTGTACCTGGTGCCGTGCAAGGATGTAGTTGGGACATATTTCTTATTGAGTATCAAAAATCTAACCACAAAACTAAATGTTATACGCTTATCAAGAAAACAAGTTTAACCCGTTAGTGCGTACTTTGGATAGCCTCTTTGCATAATTTGGCACCTAGTGAGATTATTATATTATTTATTGTCTACTGGATCTGCAAAATGCTTTCACTTTACCCATACAAATATAATACAGTAGTTTAGGAGATTAAAATTACCTCACTTATAAATTTCAGAAATTGTCTAATCTCCAATAAAAATACCATTTTATTATTACACCATAATCAATGAGGCATTCTAGATGAATCTTACTTTGACACAAACAATGCAATATACTTTAAAAGTAGAGTGAACTCTGAGCTGGACAATACTCCCCTATTAGAACTCCTTTATGAGGGAGAGACATCTTGTCCATTCAATCCTTTTTATCAGTAAAATAATGACTTTCAGGATTAATCAATTTGCAAATGGAAACGTGGATCCACGATTTGAACAGTAGAAGTTTGCGGGGCCCCTTTCACGTGGGATGTAACAAGCGCTTTTCTTGCTCCAGGAGCGATAGCATACAATTGTTTCATTATAGCCGGCTGGACAGCATTTCACCTTTTGTAAAAACACTAAATGCTTGCGTTAATGATATGCAAATCACTCTGCTAGTTAAACTCCTACACAACGGATAATAAAATACATGAAACACATAACACACCAATTAATTTCAAACCATATAACTCATACTCAGCATTCAATGTAATATTACATGTCATCTCACAAAACAGACGTAGTAGAAACACATAATGGATACCCAGCAGATATGCCAATACAGAAAACACATTCATGGGCACGCAACTACACACTCTGTGTCCCTCCTAGGAAACACGGGTAGAAACAATATGAAAGCAGTCTTAAACTAACACCTCCAAATCTCCATTCCCATATAGCTATATCAGAACACAACACAGAGCCTGATAGAACTACTCCAACTACTCGTGGCCAAAACACTTGTATTCAACAGCTAATAAAACCATTATTTGCTGGGTTATTTGACTGGCATTTTTATCAGTATCATTAGACTGAGACAAACTGATTCAAATATAATGTAAAACAACACAGCAACATATAAATTAAACCACTTTCCAGTTAAGCTGCACACTTCACACATTATCACAATCACCATTTACACAGAATAAACAGTTAACAGCTGTACTCAGAACATATTATTGTAAGGTATACCAATTTTAGTTTGTATTAGATTTATTTTAGGGATTCTTATGTATACTTTTTTTAATGTATTTATTTATTTTTAATTCTTATTAACTTCATTACTTTAATCTACTATAGTATTGTATATAGAGAAAGGATCCATTTATATAGCGCGCTCATAACTCAAATATTTTTATGAAACTTCCATTAACTAATCTGAGATGATGCTGCATCAACTTAAATCTTATAGAAATTTTGCAAACATTTGGACCAGATTACACAGACATGGTTTCACCAGAATCTTTCAGAACTCTCAGAGACTTAAAAAAAAAATTATTCTATACCATGTTTAAAAGGCATGGCAAACCTTAGACCGGTCAGTCTCCAAGAGCCCTTAGTAAAACAGGTAGAAACCTTTGTCCATAATCTCTGATCCAGGTTATATACCACAATTTAAAAGAACAGAACACATATAATGTGAGACATAGAAGACACAAAACATATGCAGTAGCTGAATCATTTAAAGCATCTGTAGCAATAAAAAGGTTAGCTTACGGCACAAAATAAAGCATGTGTTGGACCGCTGAAAATTTAAATGTTGCTCTCTTATTTACAAACAAAAATCATATTTACAGTATGGATCCTTTGCAACAAACACACAGGGCAGGGAATATGTGCTGATTGGTATTCTATACAATTAATCCCATACGGGGAATTAACTTTCAAATACTAATGAAGTGACTTTTTGTCTCAATTATAAAAATACTGAGCTCATCATGCAAACAATGTAACACATTTACACTATCCCACTCTCATAGAAAGTGTAGTGGGCTTATGGTACTAAAGTAACAATCATACCAGGCACACAGATCCCATGTGAAATAACTTACAATAAAATAGAATAATAAACTATACTTCTATGCGACAGAAAGAATAAAGCAAAAGATTTAAGTAGGTCTATCAGGCACAACCTGCGAGCCAGTTCTTTTCTAATATACAGTACTGGTATCTTATATATATGTATATATATTGGTCACTCAGGACCTGAACTCACATTTCCCATACTGCTGACTCAGGGTGGACACACTACTAACTTACCAAAGTGTGTCCCCAATATAGACGATCACCCAATTGATGGAGAATCATTGTTTGCAATAAAGACATGGACACTACAAATGTGCTTTAACAAGATTCTCAGTGAGTATATTTTCAGGGTTAGCATATAAAGCAAAAAGAGTTAACCATTTCATATCCTTACAGTCAGCACTAATGATTATAAACCTTGTTTAAGCATAAAATACATATGAACAAGAAAAGTTAACTACTTCATATTCTTGCATGGTAATTTCCCATTCCTAGGACAAATCTTTCAAACACTTATTCACACTCACAACCAGACTTAACTAATGACAATTAGAGGGTGGACAAGGTGAACCTGAAACTCTGTGCACACTATCGTAGTATATTCACTTATATACTAAATTCTCTGTCTATATCACTTTATAGACTTCCTTTTATCTGTCTAATTCTCTTATTAGACCTTCTCTAGTTCACTTACTAGAAATACATATATCTCTCTGTCTAGTTCCCTTACTAGACTAATTTAACGGAACCTTATGTAAAACTGAGTCACATAAAACACATATAGTAAATAACCTTTCCTAAAATGATGTAGACTTACAAAACCATGGGGATCATAGATTCAGGGCGTCAAGATAGACACAAGGAATTACTACTCACCCAAAATGGTTTGGCTACAATCCCACTTCTGACACCAAGCTGAAAGGTAAATCTGCTAATCTGGTGACTCGGTCCCTCTGGTCACTATTCTCCAACCCTCGATTGTCAGCTGAATATTCAGGGAAGATTTTTATGGAAGCGTATTAACCAGACACACACTCTTTGCTTTCCATAATCTTCAAATGTATTATAAAAAGGATGGCATATTTATACAGTATTGATTATGAACTTTGACATACATTGGTTATAATGTGCTTACAAAAGATAAATGTTGCTAAAAGCGGAAATAGCTGATCTTGCAAAAGACCACGGTCAATGTTAGTTTGCGGATGCGTCTGTTGATTCAAATGCAGAAGTGATAAATCAAAAATAACCTGTGGTTTGTCTAGTTTTTAGCTCTTGTGTAAATCTTAAGAAAGAGAATATAATATCAGAAATTATAGATGAGAATCATTAACCCCTTCCCTTCAGTGGGTGGTTTTAGTCGTAGTTGTGTCCAGAGGGGTTTGGGTAAAATGAAAATCTCTGCAAAGTAGAAGGCCTCCCTGTTTATATATGTCAATTTTGGTGAGTAGTGATTGAAGGTAATTCCTAGAGTTGTCGTTAGGGAAGTAGGCCGTAGCTAGTGTGTACTGGGTATTATTAAATAAGCCAAGTAGAATAATAAACCTTGCTTGTGGGTTAATATATTGCCTCTGGGGTGTAAAGGCTACGTCTTTATGCATGAAAATGGAGACTCCTTTGGTTTTACTGTCGGACAGAGCATGATATTGAGTGGGAAATTGCTTAGTAAACAATGCAGGCGTATGTCCCTTTTTAAAGTGGGTTTCCTAAATACAGGCAATATCAATTTTATTTTTCGTAAGATCTCCAAGTAAAAGTCTCCTTTTCCCGGGGGTATTCAACCATTTGACATTATATGTAACAAGTTTCATACTTATAACAATTTGTTAAATAATACTCTCTGGGATTGAATCTCCAACACTTAACCCATAGTATGTGCCCCAATACCAGTCCCGGTAGGTAACGGAGTTGAACCTGGAGGCAGCTACTTTATTACGCTTAGGGAGCGAGATAGAAGTGGTTAGGGTCATTCCCTGAAGCTGGTAAAGCCCAGGGGCGACAGATATTCTGCTGGAGGGGAGGATGTGCAGTGGAGGGCTGAAGGGTGAGGGTAGAGAACATTAGGGTGAGGAAAACTTGGGGGTAACAAACTCAATTGGGCTTATCCAGTGAGAGCCCAGTCGCACCAGGTGGGACCTAGTCGCATGTTGTGGGGGGCATGCTCACAACACCAAGTCAGCAAGCAACGCTCACAACACCAAGTCAGCAAGCAATGATCTGACGGCGACCTGTTACAATTCCTGCGTACAGCGTACTCTGACGTAATGCGCACTCCAATGTACCTGCTGCTATTTGAATCAGGAGAAGAACGCTGCTATGAGGCTTTAACCCACAAACTCTATTCACTAATGGCGTGGGGGGCCCATTCCCAGCCCGCGATGACACGTCCCATGAATGGCGTCATTGGCCGGACCCCCACGCTGGTTCTTACTGCCCCCTGTGTGGGGCACCAGGACTGGCTGACAGGTCAGGTGAGAATCATTAACAGGCATTAATAGCTGGGCCTCCATTACAGGCTAGACTGGCTGAGCCTGCTGGGAGTAGTGGTGAGGTACTATCCCTGCCTTGTGATTGAACACACAGAGAATGATCTTTATACATAATATATATCAATAATAATATATACTAATAATAATAATAATAATAATAAATAATAATAATAATCCTCACAGGGCAATCTGCCCTTCACAAACATGGCCGCCACGGCCTCTCGCACAGACCGGAAGCGGAAGCTCCTGTCACTGAGGGAAGATGGCGGCCTCCAGCGCTCTGCTGTCCCCCGTGTTCCAGCTGGTCCGGGCCGGGTACCGGGTGCTCACCCGGGGGGTCTGGGGCCCAACTCTGCTCCACAGCCGCAGCCTGAGGGAGTGTGAGTACAGGGAGCGGCGGCCCGGCGGGGGAGGGAGAGACCGGGAAACCGAGTGACCGACCGAGTAACCAAATAACCTACCGAATAACTAACTAACTAACCTACTGACCGACTAACTAACCAACCAACCAACTAACTAAACTAACCCACCGACCGAATAACTAACTAACCTACTAACTAACCTACTGACCGACCGAGTAACCAAATAACTAACCTACTGACCGACTAACCGACCAACTAACTAACTAACTAACCTACTGACCGACTAACCGACCAACTAACTAACTAACTAACCTACTGACCGACTGACTGAGTGACCGACCAACTAACTAATCAATCAACTAACTAAACTAACCTACCGACCGACCGACCGACTAACTACTCAATCAACTAACTAACTGTGTGTGACCTCACTATACCGCCCTCACCATAACAACATTATCATCATTAATATTATCCGACCACCTTCCCCTCCATTATACCAAACTCGCTATCCCACCACCTTCCTCTCCATTACACCAAACTCGCTATCCCACCACCTTCCTCTCCATTACACCAAACTCGCTATCCCACCACCTTCCTCTCCATTACACCAAACTCGCTATCCCACCACCTTCCTCTCCATTACACCAAACTCGCTATCCCACCACCTTCCTCTCCATTATACCAAACTCGCTATCCCACCACCTTCCTCTCCATTATACCAAACTCGCTATCCCACCACCTTCCTCTCCATTATACCAAACTCGCTATCCCACCACCTTCCTCTACATTGCTCCTCGGCTTCGCTATCCCACCACCTTCCCCTCCATTACATAGAGCTTCGCTATCCACCACCTTCCTCTCCATTATACCAGGCTTCAGCTATCCACCTTCTCTCCATTACATAGCTTCAGCTATCACCCCATTCCTCTCCATTATATAGGCTTCGCTATCCCACCACCTTCCTCTCCATTACACCAAACTCGCTATCCCACCACCTTCCTCTCCATTATACCAAACTCGCTATCCCACCACCTTCCTCTCCATTATACCAAACTCGCTATCCCACCACCTTCCTCTCCATTATACCAAACTCGCTATCCCACCACCTTCCCCTCCATTACACCAAACTCGCTATCCCACCACCTTCCCCTCCATTATACCAAACTCGCTATCCCACCACCTTCCTCTCCATTACACCAAACTCGCTATCCCACCACCTTCCTCTCCATTACACCAAACTCGCTGTCCCACCACCTTCCTCTCCAATACACCAAACTCGCTATCCCACCACCTTCCTCTCCATTACACCAAACTCGCTGTCCCACCACCTTCCTCTCCATTATATCAAACTCACTATACCACCACCTTCCTCTCTGTAACGGACTGTTTTGCTCACCAGAGGTTAAAAACCGTTTAGGCGATATTCCCCTTTCCAGATACACCGACAGCTACTGTAAGCACCGATCTCCCGAACTGGAAACACATGAACACTGGAAATATCTGAACAGGAAAACCATACGAAAGGGTTACACTCCTGGCAGTCAGCATACAATCCAATTCCCCCAATAATGAGACGACACTTCACTTTGAGGGTTAAGCAGAATCTGACTGTACTGGCACATACAGCCTCTTTTATTCCCAATCCACAAACTTAGTACTGCACACAGGGTTTTACAGAACAACCAATCAATTTGTACAGTACACACAGACACTCCCACACAAAATCCTCCCCTCTGCCTGTGATATGATTACTGAACACAATGGTTAATCTAATTATCACAGACAGAGAAATACAGTTTTATAAAACACATCACAGAGACCCCAAAACATGCAATAACCCCATAAAAGTATATCATTAGAACCGGGGGATCTGGGTGAACCACATATCCAAAATTCACCCAGATCCGTTCAGTACTTTGGAAGATACAGTTTAATGCAGATTCTGCAGAACATATACAGGCTAAATGAAAAACAATCACTGTATAATGTGTCCCCTGCTGTATAGTCCAAAACCACTGCACAATGTCTCTGTGCACCAAATACCGGCGAGATGGCACCGTGTTGAAAAGTCCAAACAGTGTCTGTGAGTTAAAATGGCCGCCCTCCATTGTTCTCACCATGTGCTTCTGATACAGGAAATGGTGGCCACCCAGTAACTCCACAGTATGTCTCCAGATGGTTCTTAAAGGGCCAGCAGCAGCACAACACAAATCCCTTATGCCCAAATCACGTCTTTAAAGGGCAATACATCCCAGGGACCATAGTCACATGGCAGGAGGCGGGCAGCCAGGCTTTGTCCAGTGGCTCCAATGTCCAGTGGCGAGGCGGCTTTCGCCACACTCTCCATTATACCAAACTCGCTATACCACCACCTTCCTCTCCATTATACCAAACTCGCTATACCACCACCTTCCTCTCCATTATACCAAACTCGCTCTACCACCACCTTCCTCTCCATTATACCAAACTCACTATACCACCACCTTTAATCACATACAGGAGGCTCTTGCAGGGTCTAGCAAGCTATTAACATAGCAGGGGATAGGGAAAATTTAAACTTAACAGAACTTGCAATAAAGAAAGGATAAACTTTAGATGACTCTTTACAGGAAGTGTTTAGGAAGGCTGTGCAAGTCACATGCAGGGAGATGTGACTAGGGTTCATAAACAAAGGGATTTAACTCATAAATGGAAGAGAATTGAGCAGTGAGGATGCAGGGGTATTTTCTATGCACTAAAACTGCTTCATTAAGCTAAAGTTGTGTTGGTGACTATAGTGTCCCTTTAAATACTCAGCAAGCTTTTTAAAGGGACACTACGTCACCAAAAAAGTTAGCTTAATAAAGCAGTTTTGGCGTACAGATCATAGCCCTGCAGTCTCACTGCTCAATTCTCTGACATATAGGAGTTAAATCACTTTGTTCATACAGCATTAATCACACCTCCTTGCATGTGACTTGCACAGCCTTCCTAAATATTTCCTATAAATCATCTGTTTACACTTCCTTTATTACACATTATGTTTAATTTAGAATATTGTATCCCCTTCTCCCTTTATAGCCTTTTTGACCTTCTGGAGTTTCCTGTGTGTGATTAACGTTCAATTTACAGAGCAGGAGATAAATACTTAAGCTCTCTCTTCCAGCTGCCTGTATTGCTCCTGACACCCATTTTCAGATCCCAATGGACACTGTCGTACCTGTCGCACATGATTATGAGACTGGTAGATCCTCTGTAGAACTTATATCGTGATCCGAGAGAAGAAATCTTCCCCTCACAGTCATTTCTAACAATAGCTGTGGGAATAGACTAAAATTATTGGAGGAAGCACCACATCATGTCATATGTCTTATGATATATTTAGATTTTAGTGAAATCCCAGTGTTGTCAGTATAAGGGTTTCATAGAGATTATATATGTAGTGACAGAGCTAGTTTAAAGTTTCCTTTCTCTGTCTTTAGATAGGATCATGGATCTCACACAGCGCCCTCCTATGGTGGTGCCGCCTGTCTGATTTGCCTTTGGGAATTTCTAAATCGGAACTTAGTTGCTCTTTTTTGAATATATTCTTGTATTATTGCTTTCTAATCTAAAATTTAATTACACAAATATGTATAGATGTTTTCATATTTTGATTTATTTTCTTTTTACATTATGTAAATTTATGTGCAATTGTCCTGTTTTTCCCGCAGTGGTGGAGGAGAAATCTGGGAAGGTGACTGTGGTGAGTACTGTTAGTGAAATCTCTGGTATATTGTGTGCAGTATCAGGGTTAAATCCAGTGTTTCTTATTAATATGCAGCTCTTTTTTTGATATGTGTTTATTTTTTATTTGTGGTCCTTGTAGAACTGCACACTCCATAAAATACCCGAAGAAGACTTGGAGTGCCTGTTTCCTTAAAGAGACTATAGTCACCAGAACACCTACAGCTTAAAGAGTCACCTGAACAACTTTAGCTTAATGAAGCAGTTTTGGTGTATAGAACATGCCCCTGCAGCCTCACTGCTCAATCCTCTGCCATTTAGGAGTTAAATCCCTTTCTTTATGAACCCTAGTCACACCTCCCTGCATGTGACTTGAACAGCCTTCCATAAACACTTCCTGTAAAGAGAGCCCTATTTAGGCTTTCTTTATTGCAAGTTCTGTTTAATTAAGATTTTCTTATCCCCTGCTATGTTAATAGCTTGCTAGACCCTGCAAGAGCCTCCTGTATGTGATTAAAGTTCAATTTAGAGATTGAGATACAATTAAGGTAAATTACATCTGTTTGAAAGTGAAACCAGTTTTTTTTTTTCCATGCAGGCTCTGTCAATCATAGCCAGGGGAGGTGTGGCTAGGGCTGCATAAACAAACAAAGTGATTTAACTCCTAAATGACAGTGAATTGAGCAGTGACATTGCAGGGGAATGATCTATACACTAAAACTGCTTTATTTAGCTAAAGTAATTTAGGTGACTATAGTGTTCCTTTAATGTATGGTATACAGCTTAATGTAGTTGTTCTGGTGAGTATAATAACTCCCTTCAGGCATTTTCATGTAAACACTGCCTTTTCAGAGAAAAGGCAGTGTTTACATTGCACCTAGGGACACTTCCAGTGACCACTCCTTAGATGGCCACTGCAGGGGCTTCCTGGCTCAGTGCTGTACAGTAGGCAGCACTGCCGTTCAGCATATACACACTGCATGGAGACGCTGAATTTTCCTCATAGAGATGCATTGATTCAATGCATTTCTATGAGGAGGTCCTGATTGGCCAAAATGACATTTGGCCCCAGCCCCGTGCAGATTTTAGCCAATCCAATGCTTTCCCTATGTAAAAGCATTGGATTGGCTAAAAATTGGTTATTATGATGTCACAAAGGGGGCAGAACCAGCCCTGGCGGGCCCGCGCGGCACTGGAATAAGGTGAGTTTTAAACTTCTATAGGGGACTAAGGGGGGGCAAGCAACCTAAATGGTGGGTTTAGCACTATAGGGTCAGGAATACATGTTTGTGTTCCTGACCCGATAGTGAGCCTCTAATTTCACTAACCATTAACTCATGGTAAATGTCATAAAGTGTTCTTCAAACCGGTACCTAAAGTGCACCCCAATGAAATTAAAGTAAACCTTAGTAAAGTGTCCCCAAAGAATCGTGTGTAAAAGTCTTTTTGCATATTCTCATAGTGGATACAACTTGCAATAAGTGCAGATCTAGTATCTGCAGCTCCTACAAGCATTCCCCTTTTACCCATTAAAGACTTGTCTGTCCTGGAGTTGGAGCACTGCTGAGCTAATCCCATATACAGTGCATTCTAGTACAGCAAAGCTTTCTGCGAGTTGTCATTTATATTCCAGCTTTTTTACTGCTGAATGCCAACAGATTACAACTCGCAGAAACCTTAGTCATGGGTCATGTACAGCATCATTCTCTGAGCAAAAAATACTGCAGATTACAAGACAGTGCTCAAAGTGTAGGCTTATGGGGGGGAAAAAACAGCTAGACACTAAGAAATGTAAAAACATCCACTTTCTCTGTCCCACACAGCTATCAGTACTGAGAGAAAGCACTTGATTAGAGTGATAGAAACATAGAATGTGACGGCAGATAAGAACCATTCGGCCCATCTAGTCTGCCCAAATTTATAAATACTTTTATTAGTCCCTGGCCTTATCCTTTAGTTAGGATAGCCTTTTTGCCTATCCCACGCATGCTTAAACTCCTTTACCGTGTTAATCTCTACCACTTCAGCTGGAAGGCTATGCCATGCATCCACTACCCTCTCAGTAAAGTAATACTTCCGGATATTATTGTTAAACTTTAGCCCCTCTAATTTAAGACTATGTCCTCTTGTTGTGGTAGTTTTTCTTCTTTTAAATAGTCTCCTCCTTTATTGTGTTGATTCCCTTTATATATTTAAATGTTTCTATCATATCCCCTGTAGCGGATGGCACTGGGCTGTCCTGAGAATTACATGTGTTTGAATGCATTCGTGTAAAATGGCAAAGTTATATGTGTTAAATGTATTGTATTCGTCTGAATGTTAGGTAGTTTCATTCCCTTAGTTTGTTCGAATGAAACTACCGAACAGTCAGACCTCCCCTGTGTGAAGTGTGCCTTCAATTACCCATTGCAACATTGTTGCGAATGGGTAATTGACAAGCTGAGTAGCCGTCCTTTGTTCTCGGGGGTGGCCGCCATTCGGGATACGAACACATGGCGGCGGCCATTTTTAAAACTCCCGAACAGCAGTGTTTTGCCGTTGAGTGTCTGGAACTCAAATCGGGCACTCGACTAGGCGAACACAAGACCTCCACAAGCCCGGTCCGTTCGGTTCCAAACTACCGAACGGCCCCTGGTTCGGTAGATAGAAACAACCGAACAAGGGGATTCAGGCGAACCCTCCCTAGAGGCTTTCGTGCAGTTTATTCCCTTACTCCAGGACCTACCGCAGGGCCCCATCGCATGTGTGAAGGCTAAATGCCTGTATTAGTTCGGTTCAATATATAGGGAATAAATGTATTTGTTTACCGAAAGAGGACCATACACCCTGGGTAGCAATTAGCATTAGAACGCGGAGAAAACCGCGACTTAATTGCTACTAGGTGGCCGCCATTCGACATACGAACACGTGGCGAGAACAAAGGATGGCGGCCATCTTAAAACTCACGAATGCAGTTAGCGGGGCTTACGCATAAATTTCATGGAACTAATTTCGGTACGGCAAACATGCGAACGCCCGGTCACCACGGAAGTCCTGGATGAATACGTTCCCCTACACGAATCCAACTGGCGTTCGGTAGATAGAATCTACCGAATAAGGGGAACATTCACAGGTAACCAGCTGCACCATACGAACTGTGGTTTTCGTGCAGTTAGATGTGAACGGAGACCAGCTCTTGCTACTGATTCTCTGGAACTCAAAATCGGATACCTCCACATGGCGAGCCGGTCAAACTTCCACATGATGCGACACGGAAACTACCAAACGGAAATTCGTGAGATTTGGATATATGACTACCAGTATCCTCAGCTACCCAGGGATGTTGAAATTATGTTTGTATGTGGCATAAAAAGTACTTTTCTAAAATTGTTAAAAACTGTAACATTTTTGGCCAGCAGATAATTGAGCTTTGTGTATTGTAGAAACTCAATTATCTAGCCTGGCCCAGAGGAGGAGTTTTGTGTTGCATAAATTGTGAGTTCTGTGTGCCAGTAAATCAGTCTTGTTCCAGCATTAAGCTTTGGTTCATGTGTGGATTATTCGGCGATTGCAGGGATATTTCTACTCGTGGAATATTGGGTGTTTTTCTTTTATGGGAAGAAGGGAATGCTTGACGGTGATACCCTATACTACCGTCACAGCATGTGTAAAATGTACTTTGTAATGGTGATAATGTTGAATCTTAATTTCTTCTCATCTTCGGTTGATTGATATATATACTTCTTTTGTATATATATTCTTGGGCCAAATGCTCGCCACAATAATATATATGTCTATATTATTGAAAAGTAGTAATACGCAATCTGACTTACGGTTTCTTCCGGTTTATTCTTAGTTACAGATACATAATAAAACATAATAAATGATGTTACAGGATTATGGACATTCAACAGCAGATGGTAATTGCTGGACTTCTTATCGGAGAGTTACATCGTTGTACAGAGCCAAGAGAAGACTGAGAGTGACCTCGTGTCCCTCTGTTACTATAAAGATGTGCTAATACTAACGTCAGCATATAACTCTAGCCATATAAGGACAAGACCCCCGAATCCACATTCCAGAGCTCTCGGACACAGAAAGCCTTGTGACTTATTGATACCATCTGTTACTTATGTCAATCCACACATCCATATATATAATCAATAGAAACATAGAATATGCAATATTCTACAGCATGGAACCCCATTCGGCTGTTTTCTCCAGTGCGGTCGGTCATTTTATTCCCTCCATAAATTTCCCGAACCCCTGGTCTGATCTGGGTGATTTTTGGATATGTTGTTCACCCAGATCAGGGCTACCAGGGGATGTATAATTTAAAGTGGTACCCCTAAGTTTAGGGGTACATCCAGAAACGGGGGAAATTGGTGTGCTGGATAAGGGGATTATTATGTAGGCTGAGGGGAGGAGATGTGTGGGAGGTTACCAGAGCAGGATTGGCTACTGTACAAATTAATGGAAATCCCTCCCTTGCGTGGGAGCAGGCTTTATAAGGCCACTGCGTGAATAAAACTTTAGTTCTGCTCCTGATACTGTGTGTTGTCCGGTTATTGGGATTGCTGTTGGGATACTGCTGTTATTTTGCCTGCTGGATACTTTACCCTATGGATTTATAATTGCTTGTTCCTGAACCTCCCTGGGATCTAAAGTGGAGATAGGCTGTGTAATACCAGCTCTCCGCTACATCCCGCCTGTCTCGTCTTTCCTCCAAGCTATACATGTTAAGATCCTTTAACCTTTCCTGGTAAGTTTTAACCCGCAATCCATGAACCAGTTTAGTAGCCCTTCTCTGAACTCTCTCTAAGGTATCAATATCCTTCTGGAGATACGGTCTCCAGTACTGCGTACAATACTCCAAGTGAGGTCTCACCAGTGTTCTGTACAATGGCATGAGCACTTCCCTCTTTCTACTGCTAATACCTCTCCCTATACAACCAAGCATTCTGCTAGCCTTTCCTGCTGCTCTATTGCATTGTCTGCCTACCTTTAAGTCATCAGAAATAATCACCCCTAAATCTCTTTCCTCAGATGTTGAGGTCTTGGGTTTTTACGTCCAAGATGCATTATCTTGCACTAATCCACATTAAATGTCAATTGCCACAACTCTGACCATTTTTCTAGTTTACCTAAATCATTTGGCTTATCTCTCCTGGAACGTCAATCCTGTTACATATCTTAGTATCATCAGCAAAAAGACATACCTTACCATTTCGACCGTCTCCAATATCACTTGTAAAAACATTAAAGAGAATGGGTCCAAGTACAGATCCCTGAGGTACCCGACTGGTAACTAGACCTTGCTTCAAATTTACTCCATTGACTACAGCACTCTGTTGCCTGTCACTCAGCCACTGCCTTACCCATTCAACAATATTGGAATCCAAACTTAAAGATTGCAATTTATTGATAAGCCTTCTATCTGCAACGTGTTAAAGGCCTTACTGAAATCTAGGTAAGCAATGTCTACTGCACCACCCTGATCTATTATTTTAGTTACCCAATCAAAAAAATCAATACGATTAGTTTGGCATGATCTCCCTGAAGTAAACCCATGTTGTCTCTGATCTTGAAATCCATGTGTTTTTAGATGTTCATCAATCCTATCCTTTAACATGGTTTCCATCACTTTCCCCACTACTGAAGTAAGGCTTACTGGCCTATAGTTGCCCGTCTCCTCCCTACTACCTTTCTTGTAAATGGGCACAACATTCGCTAACTTCCAATCTTCTGGGACTACTCCTGTTAACAATGATTGGTTAAATAAATCTGTTAATGGTTTTGCTAGTACACCACTAAGCTCTTAACTTTGGGTGTATTCCATCAGGTCCCATTGACTCATTTGTCTTTACTTTTGACAGTTGAAATAGAACCTCCTCTTCTGTAAACTCGCATGTAATAAAAGACACATTTGTCCTTTTTCCTAACTGAGGTCCCTTTCCTTAATTTTCATCTGTAAATCCTGAACAAAAATATTAATTGAGGCAGTCAGCTAGACCTTTATCTTCTTTTACATACCTTCCTTCTTTTGGTTTTTATTCTAACTATTCTTGTTTTACTTTCCTTTTCTCATTTATGTATCTAAAAAAAGAGTTTTTTTTGTTTTTGTTTTTTTTAACTGACTGTATAATAACTAAATGCTAACTTTTTGTTTTTTACTATTTTGGCCACATCTGCAGAGTACAATCCTAATGCAATTTTCTCTTGCCTTCAGCAGTGCAACTTTTAAATAATCCCATTTCTCTTGGACTCCATTTAAATTGCTCCAGTCTGATAATGACTCCTTTACACACATTCCTATTTTAGAAAAAAATAATTTCTAAAGTCTAAAACTTTTTTGTTTTTGTGTGGTGTGACTCAGTCACTGTTCTTATATTAAACCACACTGACTGATGATCACTGGATCCTAAACTTTCACCTACATCAATATATGATACCAAATCTCTATTTCTTAACACTAAATCTAGTATGGCCTCTTTACGAGTTGGCTCCTCAAAGACTTGTTTTAGAGACAATCCCAGTAGGGAGTTTAGAATATGTGTGCTCCTGGCACAAGCAGCTATTTTGGTTTTCCAGTTCACATCAGGAAGATTAAAGTCACCCATGATGATAACTTCCCCCTTCATTGTCATTTTAGCTATTTCCTCAACTAGTAGATTATCTAACTCTTCAATTTGTCCTGGGGGCCTATAAATCACACCTACATGAGTTACTGTGTGATTGCCAAATTCTAACGTAGCCCAAACAGACTCTATGTTTGCCTCACTAACTTTTATTAGGCTAGATTTTATGCTATCCTTCACATACAAGGCCACCCCTCCCCCTTTCTTGCCTTCCCTATCTTTCCTATATAAAGAGTACCCTGGTATTGCTATGTCCCAGTCATTTTCTCATTGTACCATGTCTCAGTAACAGCGACTAAATCTACACTATCAGTTGCCATTATTGCCACAAGTTCATGGATCTTATTCCCTAAACTGCGAGCATTTGTAGACATGACTCTAAGCTTATCATTTTTTAACACACTTGCTACAGGCACCTTCTGTCCTTGTTTTGGGGACAATTGGATTGATGTTTTATCACCCTTTTGCCCCCCCCTTCTAGTTTAAATACATCCTAACAAAACCTCTGAACTGCTCACTGAGAACATTTGTTCCCTTTTGAGAAAGATGCAAACCATCTTTTTTGTACAGCTTATCTCCATTCCAAACAGAGCTACCATGAGAAATAAAGCCAAATCCTTGCTCCAGACACCATTCACCAAGCCACAAGTTAAAGTCCCTAATGCAGGGGTGCAGAATTGTGAGCAAGGATTGTATTTTTGAGGATTAATTTTATTATTGAACAACAACCATGTTCTCAATGAACCCAAAAACTCATTAATATCAAAGCTGAATATTTTTTGCAGGTAGTTTTTTAGTTTGTTTTTAGTTACTTAGCTATGTTAGGGGAGTTATCTGTGTGTGCAGGTGACTATTACTGTGCATAATTATTAGGCAACAACAAAAAACAAATATATACCCATTTCAATTTATTTGTATTACCAGTGAAACCAATATAACATCTCAGCATTCACAAATATACATTTCTGACATTCAAAAACAAAACAAAAACAAATCAGTGACAGCCATAGCCACCTTTCTTTTGCAAGGACACTCAAAGAAGCCTGCCATCCATGGATTCTGTCAGTGTTTTGATCTGTTCACCATCAACATTAAGTGCGGCAGCAACCACCTCCCGAACACTGTTCAGAGGAATTTGCATTTTCCCCTCCTTGTAAATCTCACATTTGATGATGGATCACAGGTTCTCAATGGGGTTCAGATCAGGTGAACAAGGAGGCCATGTCATTAGATTTTCTTCTTTTATACCCTTTCTTGCCAGCCACGCTGTGGAGTACTTGGGCGTGTGTGATGGAGCATTGTCCTGCATGAAAATCATGTTTTTCTTGAAGGATGCAGACTTCTTCCTGTACCACTGCTTGAAGAAGGTGTCTTCCAGGAACTGGCAGTAGGACTGGGAGTTGAGCTTGACTCCATCCTCAACCTGAAAAGGCCCCACAAGCTCATCTTTGATGATACCAGCCCAAACCAGTACTCCACCTCCCCCTTGCTGGCGTCTGAGTCGGACTGGAGCTCTCTGCCACCCCCCACCAATCCAGCCATGGGCCCATCCATCTGGCCATCAAGACTCACTCTCATTTCATCAGTCCATAAAACCTTAGAAAATCAGTCTTGAGGGCCTTTCTTGGCCCAGTCTTGGCGTTCAGCTTGTGTGTCTTGTTCAGTGGTGGTCGTCTTTCAGCCTTTCTTACCTTGGCCATGTCTCTGAGTATTGCACACCTTGTGCTTTTGGGCACTCCAGTGATGTTGCAGCTCTGAAATATGGCCAAACTGGTGGCAAGTGGCATCGTGGCAGCTGCACGCTTGACTTTTCTCAGTTCATGGGCAGTTATTTTGGGCCTTGGTTTTTCCACACGCTTCTTGCGACCCTGTTGACTATTTTGAATGAAACGCTTGATTGTTCGATGATCACGCTTCAGAAGCTTTGCAATTTTAAGAGTGCTGCATCCCTCTGCAAGATATCTCACTATTTTTTACTTTTCTGAGCCTGTCAAGTCCTTCTTTTGACCCATTTTGCCAAAGGAAAGGAAGTTGCCTAATAATTATACACACCTGATATAGGGTGTTGATGTCATTAGACCACACCCCTTCTCATTACAGAGATGCACATCACCTAATATGCTTAATTGGTAGTAGGCTTTCGAGCCTATACAGTTTGGAGTAAGACAACATGCATAAAGAGGATGATGTGGTCAAAATACTAATTTGCCTAATAATTCTGCACTCCCTGTACACATCCGCCTGTCGTTCTGAGTGTTATGCACTGGCAGAACTTTAGAGAATGACAGCGTGGAAGCAACCTGCCGTATATCATTGGCAAAAACACTAATAACTTCCTTTACCTCTGAAACCTCTTTGCAAGCCAAGTCATTTGTCCCTAGATGGACAAGTACATCAGTACTGAGAGGAGGCACTGGATTAGAGTGATGGGATTCCCTGTCCTACACAGCTATCAGTACTGAGAGAAGATGCTGGATTAGGGTTATGGGATTCTCTGTCCCACACAGCTATCGGTACTGAGAGAAGGCACTGGATTAGAGTGATGGGATTCTCTGTCTGTACCACTGGATTAGAGTGATGGGATTCCCTGTCCTACACAGCTATCAGTACTGAGAGAAGATGCTAGATTAGGGTTATGGGATTCTCTGATCCACACAGCTATCGGTACTGAGAGAAGGCACTGGATTATAGGGATGGGATTCTCTGTCCCACACAGCTATCGGTACTGATAAAAGACACTGGATTAGGGTGATGGAATTCTCTGTCCCACACAGCTATCAGTACTGAGAGAAGATGCTGGATTATAGTGATGGGAATCTCTGTCCCACACAGCTATCAGTACTGAGAGAAGGCACTGGATTAGAGTGGTGGGATTCTCTGTCCCACGCAGCTATCAGTACTGAGAGAAGGCACTGGATTAGATTGATGGGATTGTCTCAGTATTGTGTTGGATGTTGAGCGCTTTATAAACCGGTTTCCATTGAAGAACATGAAGAGCCTGCTTCTCCTGTCTGCCGCAGACACTTTGGAAGTTGGACACGCTCTCTTAATGTAGCCTGGCCGGGAACTCTGTGGCAGCTGGTCACTTCCATATTGAATAACAATCATGGCATTAAAGCAGTCAGTATAAGGCTAGCTGCTGCCAGATGTTCAGGGTGACCAGTTACTGCATGGTGACTCAGAAGCCAGCTGTTCTTCCTGCTTTCATTACAATAAAGTCACGACGGCTAAATATTTATTCATGAGATTGTTGAGGTGTTGCGAGCCAGCACAGCTGTATGTGCATTTTTTAATACGAACTTAAATTATCAATGTTTTGTGGTCATTTGGTAACTCAGTACATACTCTTCTGGGTGGCCTGCGTGTAGTATGGATGGCGATGTGTGCCTGCGTGTATGTATAATGGTGTTTTTTTTGCATGTAGTATGGATTGCGGTGTGTGCGCCTGCGTGCCTGCGTGTAGTATGGATAGCGGTGTGGGCACAGGTGTAGTATGTGTAGCAGGGTGGTATACATGTACACAGCCAGGAGCAGAAAGGTCTACATTTGCTCTTCATTTAAAAAGACACTCTACGGCCCCTCACCCAAAAATAATGATTTAGTAGATATACTCCAAATAAAAACTTGCATACATTTAACTATGCATTCTTTTATTTGGGTATATCTAAAACTAGCTTGCAAAAGCTGCAGATCTCTGGTCTGCAGCCTTTTCAAGCCCTCCTCTTCTAATCCCACCCAGACTTTCTGTGGCTGTCCAATCAGACTCCCCAATGCAGTTCAATTAGAAGTCTTTGCAAAGGAGGTGCCCTAGGTAATTGCTGTCTCTTGAGGACAGATGCATTGAACTAACGAAAACGGGTATTAACAGGACCGCTTGTTTGATTGACAGCCAGAGTGTAACAACGGTTAACAACGTTCATTTATAAAAGTGAAAATTTCTGTTGAATTCTGCCTTTTTGCAAAATTATAAAGAGGGCACACTCTTCACACACAAAGCATTTCCGCAAGTGACGGCTGAAATGTGAAATGAAATTATTAGGTTTATAATAAAATAAGATATCGGAAGAAGGAATAAAAACTGGTGCAAAGACACATTTTGGTGCACTATAGAGAATGTACGAAAAATAGCACGTGCACACAAAGCCTAGAATATAAGGAAGCAAATATACCAGTTTTTATACCGAAACCCCATGTACCTGTTTCTCCTCATTTCATTGTGTGTCCTGACAGCACACCGGGTTGAAGGGTTAATAAGTCAATATGAAACAATCAGTATGTTTTAGTTTTTTTCCACATATTGCCTTCCTCCCATTGCCAGCAGCTAGTCAATGGACCCGTGAGGCCTGCGTGCGTCACTGGTCAGGTTAACAAGGGTGATGGCGAGATAGTGATCTTATTGTACCAGATCCAGGCCCTGTCATAGTAAGAACAAACAGTGTCAGACTAAGGGGTGCAGGTTATTGTAATTGTATGATGTCTTCTCGGCTTGGCCGTGCTTTTATTGAATATTTTCTAAAAAACATCTAAACTCGTGGAACCAACATCCCCGGGATACCGCCGGACACTCGGTCACCATGATCTGAAAACATTTCTTGCAATCGCTTTGTTGGATCTCATTGTTTTTATTGGATAGCCAGGATTGTGTTGATTCCTGGTGGGGGAGAGGTCGTCTGTCTTGCTTTGTGTTTCAGGCTGTCCCGGGCTCCATATACCCATCTGTGCTGTGCATTGAAAGACCTCACCGATTCATGGAAAATTATTTACCTCTTATACAACTGCAGACAATTCTAAAGACAGAATGCAACAGCTGATAAGTTCAGATGTAATCGTTACCAAACCTTGTGATTTATGCTAATAAACATTTTATCTTTTATTTTGTCTCTTAACATGCCAGAAATGATTTCAATTCCTTTGTAGCTTCTTCTGTGCCAGACTTTGAATTCCTTGGGCTTAGCCGTACTGTAAATGACATATTTCCTCTGTTGTGTTTACATATTTAGCTATTGGGTGCATCAGTGATGTGTGACTAAAGTTGCAGTCAGGGCTGGGGATCAGTACATTGATGTCATTTTAAAGGGAAACAAAAATAAGGGCTTAAATAATCCGCAGTTTTTAATTCATTACACCGAGAAAAAAAACTTGCCTTTCAAGATCCTGAAATAGCACAGTTTAGATAAGCTGAATTCAGCTTCAGACAGATGGCTCCATCACCAATCTGGAGCCTCTCATTCTTTGAAGTCCTAGTTCTGTGAACAGGGATGGGTGCAGCATACAGGAAAGTGGAGTTTTGGCTGCCTGATTGACAGCTACTAGGGGCTGGGTTATAACGTGATTTGTACAGATTACAGTAGTTCTAAACCACACTCCGACATGAGTTTATGATGTGTAGTCAACACCAAAAATATCTTGTCTTACCTCCGAATACGTTGAATACGTCATGGCACAACAAATCTGTGATTTGTGAGCCTGTTCAAGCACCCAAGGTGACTGACTGCAGTGCGGCTGAATGATTACGGCGGTGAGGAAGCTGTCATCTCCCCGGGAGCAGGGAGATGATCACATCCCCTCTGGACCTCATGGAAAGCTGATCCACTACCAGCTCTCCCAAAATGTGGACACATTAAAATAAAAAAGTAATAAATAATTTGTGTGTGTGTGTGTGTGTCAAATCAGTGAGTATGTGAGTGTGTCTGTGTTTGTCAGTGTGTGTTTGTCAGTCAGTGTTGTCTGTGTCTGTCAGTGAGCGTGTGTCTTAAATCAGTGTGTGTGTCTGTCAGTGAGTGTGTATGAGACCTGCCCCCCTCCAATCACATGGGAAAGGTGCTTTTTTCCCACACCATGCTCGTGACGCCACAGCAGGCCCCACCTCCATGGCTGATATCATCAGTCTTGATGATCTCCGCCAATCCAATGCTTCCCCATAGGAAAGCAATGGGAGACTATTGCACATGCACAGCAAAACAAGAGCATTTACATAGGTGCTGCACACTGTGCAACACTGAACCAGGAAGCACCTCTGGAGGCCACCTGAGTGACTGTCACTAGTGTCAGTGTTTACATTGCAAGTGTGCAAGGACAGACTGTAGACTTCAGAACAATTACATTAATCTGTAGTGGTTCTGGTGACTATAGTGTCCCTTTAAGAGTTGTATTTTTGATGTTGGAAAAAAGTCTCCTAACCTTAACTGGCTCCTAGATTTCAAGTACATTTGTCAAGCCCTGGAATACATCATATATCACAAAGACACATGATGTATTCAATATCAAATATTGACATATACTCCCCTCTGTTTAAAGTCCACCATCTACAGAGCTTTGTGGTTGTTACTCTACATCTAACGTCCACCTCCAGTCCTTTCGTGGTGCCTGTAGTCTGTGTGTGTTTCGCTTGGAAACACTACACATACCAAGTTTAACCCCTCAGCCCCACATTCGACAGCGTCAATCGAGTCTCATCAGCCTGCCCGGAATTGATTCGCATTGAATGTATTCATTTGGTGAGAGCACGCTAAGCCAGTGAATGGGTTAGGCCGCTGCTCTGCCGGGAGCTCCTCACTGGACTACCAGGGAGCACTGAAAATCTGTGGGGACCTAGGTAAGGGGCAAATGATTGTGTACTGGAGTGGATATGATGCTTAGAGTAGCCATTTAATGAAGTGGTTATGGTGTATAGTTCACCGGTGGATACAGTCAGCAGTTTCATAACTGTGACTAGAACAGTGATTGGCTGAGACTGTCCACCTGATGCTGTTAGCCTATCATTGCCCACGAACCCTGGTTTGTTGTGAAGCTCCGCCTCTGCCATATCCTCGTTGGAGGCCAGGCACAGAGAATCTTAAATAGAGATAAAAATGTTCAAATGTCATGTGGGACCTAGTGCCCATAGACTTCGGGCACCATAACCACTTTAGTCAGTCAAAGTGGTTATGGTGCTTACTGCATTCCTTAAGCATTTACCAATATGATTTTCACAGTGTTATTTTACTGGTAATTGGCATCATCGATAGTTTACATATCATTAGTGATTATCATTGTTAGTATGCCTGACAAGATAATCAAGGAGCAGAGGCAGTTTTGTAAATACGCCTAGTGAATGAACTTCACTACTTTATGGACATTCTGTGTCGACGCGTTTGATGACCAATCCTTTGTTAAAGTTGCTCTCCCAAGCCATTTTGAATGACAGGGCTCCTCCTGTTGAAGCAAGCATGGATCAAAGAACTTCAGATAATGACCATTCCTGTGTTTTGGATTCCATATTCAGACCTTCGGGGTAAAGCGCTAAATCTAAACATATTTTACTTGGATAACAAGGCTACAGCTCATGGACAGCCTGGGGATTCCCTGGTACTGATTAATGAAGTTGTAGATGTATGGCCAGCCCCACTGCAGGAGATTGAATGAATGTTCGTCCTCTCTTTGTTGTGAACTTGTAATAAATGATAGACTGATAGGATTGACAAGCTTAGGGTTTTAGTGTGTTATGTCAGAAAGCTTGGACGAGTTCTGCAGAGCCAATAACTATATTTGTATTTAAAGTAAATGTTCATCTTGGAGATTGTTAAGGAATTCCTTTCCGTGTATATCCTGGAGTATTTCCAGAACCCTGCTGGTATTGCTATATGGTAATATCTGCTGCTCTCTCACTGACATTCGTTTAACCCTTCGTGTGCAAGAATTAGGCAGTAAAGTGGCAAAAAGCATAAAGTTGGTGTATCCTCCTTGATAAAACATCCCATATTAGTTATTACATTCACAGGGTAAAGATTGTCGTTCTGTAACATACATCTTTCACGCCTTTGGTAGGAAGTGGGTCACTGTTTGCCTGTTCTCTCTGTGGCCTTGCTGCCTGAGGTTTGGAAAATGCTTTGTGGCCTGATTAGTGTACGTAGAACCTTCTCTATGAAACCTTGTGGCTGTATTTTAACAGACCTGCAGTACTTGCCTGCATTGTGCTCCTTCCTACACAGAATGCCACTGCTAGCTCTGTGTGAAACGCACTGCTTGTTGATACAGTAGCTGACACTCTGTCCGTTACCAAAGCCCAATGATTCCCTTCTCTGTTCACACCTTCAGGCTGGACTGGGAAAAAGGTAGAGTCCCATCTTTTGCAGAACTACAACTAATCTGATGCCTTGCAAGTCTTTAGAATGGTAAAGCATTATGGGTACTTTATTACTACAAAATCTGGGGATCTACAGTTTGCCCACTCCTGCCTTAAAGGACCACTATAGTACCAGGAAAACATACTAGTTTTTCTGGCACTTCAGGGTCTCTAGGTTCCCCCCCCCCCACACACACACACACCCTCAGGGCTCCCCTCCTGCCGGGCTCTAGGGGCTAGAAGCGGTTAAATCTTACCGGGCTCCCTCGGTGGTGGGGACTCTTCTCCTTTCCCCGTCATCGGCGCGCGCGTTCAGCCAGTGCATAGGAAAGCATTCTCAATGCTTTCCTATGGACGCTGGCGTCTTCTCATTGTGAACATCACAGTGAGAAGCGCGGAAGCGCCTCTAGTGGCTGTCAATGAAACCGCCACTAGAAGCTGGATTAACCCATAGGTGAACATAGCAGTTTCTCTGAAACTGCTATGTTTACAGCAGAAAGGGTTAATTCTAGATGGACCTGGCACCCAGACCACATCATTAAGCTGAAGTGGTGTGGGTGCCTATAGTGGTCCTTTAAGACAAGACTTCGCCCAGGGACTCCAGCCCTCATGACAACTTCATTGCTGTAAGCTTGCATTCAGGATAGTAAGTCCCTTTACTTAAGTGCTATGCAATAAAGATCCAAATCTAGGCATCATGGGAAATAAACACAAAATAGCTGCCGCTGACTTTGAGGTTTTGTGTTTCATGTTTTTAATTGTTTGTGAATTTAATTCAAGGCTTCTGTTTTGGTGTGCTTTTAGAGATTAGTCTTCTGATTGATCCATTGCTCTGTTTAATTGGAATTGCTCACCTTTGCCTCTTGTTTCCCAGCTCGAAGGTCGTATCATTGAGGATAAGGAGGGACAGACACCTCCAAACCCTACAGGAGGCTGTCCCATCTGCCGCTGGAATCTCAAACACAAGTATGGTTACACGGTAAGAATATCTCTTCTTATTCTATCAGTAAATATGGTGACGTGACCCAAACACATTGTATGTCTACTGAGCTCGTCAGCTTGGGATATAGGTGATGGTAATTGATTTTTAAAACAGAACCTGCTGCCTGTTTGTGCTATCTCTACCCTAATCCATACAAAGGATCTGATCTCTCGTACATCAGACCAGCCAGAAGTATATTTATTGGCCAGTCTCTGGCTTTAAATGTATATTCTTGCCGACTTTCCTCCATGCAGAGAACCTGTATAGCCGTATCATACTATTATATACAGCAGGCACCCTATCCATAGTCTCCATTCAGCCATACCCCTCGCCGAGCTACGTTTTCTTCTCCTCACCCTATCTCGCAGATGCACTGATCCCATCCTGAAACAATAATTGTTCAATGCCTTCCTTTTAATAGACAAAAATAAATTACTAAAGCTGGAAATTGTATAGAAAGGACAAATTGCCAAAGTGACCAAATTTGAAGAACTCTTTAACTCCGGTTAAGGTTACCGTTCCTTGGTTTTAATTTAACATTTGTAATCTGTCAATTCTCCTTAATTACTGTTCTCCTGGTTTGGTGAATAAAACCCTAATATGTTTGCACCCTCCATTAAAGACAGATTATGCACCTTGTGCCACGTGAAGCCTAACATGGGGCATTTACAGATATAAACTTTCTCTGCTCGTGTGCTGGTGGCTTTCTCCTGTTTTTGTGGTAATCTTCGTGAAATCCGAAGACGCGCTATATATTGTATGTTGGATTAATGTAAATATTGTTCCCGCAGCTTTGGCAGGGGATCTGATGAATTCTCTGTGCTCCCCATGCAGCAGAAAGGAATTGCTTTCACTGTCTGTTATTACTAGCTGTAACTCAGTCATCGTACGCTTCTTGCCAGAGATTGACGGATATGAGATCTGCGCCAGCAATGGTTCAGGAACATCTGTTTTCTTGACTCGTAGTTAGAGATTGAGCATTTCTGCTGTTATCTGACCAAGTGCGGCTCAGCATAACTTGCTCTGTGGGAACCTGCAGCAGCGGTTGAGCGGTAGTTGCTCTGATAACAGTAGAATCTGATCCAACATGGCCGCTCAACCAGAAAAAAAAATTACATTTCGAGAAGTGAAAACCTGTGATGTTAAAACATGGCCTACGTTTCTGAAACCTGTCTTTCTGTGTAGTTTTTAGGATCGGTTTCTGGATTTTAGCTTCGTTAAGAGGAGAGTTAGGTTATTGAAGAATCTAATATAGCAGCTTTCCTTTGGTTAATATCTGCAATAATATTTGTGGATTATTAATGGGTCTGTGGTCTAGCTATGTCCTGTCCCTTAATCTAGGAAATCCTCTTTACATCCACCAATGCTACATTAATAAACTAAGAAAATATTTTAAAAGCAAAGTTCACAGTTAATTTATTTAAATAAGGCACTTATTTCCTCTCTCTGTACCTGACCACGTCAGCTGGTATTATGTTTAAATCTGTTTATTCTGTTTAATAAGTGGTTCAGAGGATTGATAAGGTAAACGGGGTTTGGTATTTGTAAGTAGTAAGGTAAAATGTTAATGACTCTCCAGCTCCGTCTTGTCTTTACTTCTATACACGTGAATGTCCTTTCCATCTGCAAATAAGCAAAGTGCGAGATACATTGATTATATTCTGGAGCCCAATGATCTATTCAGTAATAATGTGACTGTTTAATCTAAGTGAGTTTTATTAGTACAGGATTTTGGGGGCAATTCTGGTTGGTGTGTGGGCCAATTGAAATAGCCTTAAAGTTGCATGGAGCAAATTTTCAATTGTTGCATTTTCCAACACTTGCAGGGCTTGTCACTTACGCTCTTGTCCGGGATTGGTAGGGTGAATGCAATACTCCCACACTGTACATCTTACACACAGTCCCGTTAGACTTTCTATTTCGTTAAGAACTATTGAGAATTTTCCCTTTAATCCACTGGAGAACTGAGTTGTAATACTAATAGATTGTGCTGTACCTGTAGCTCTATCATTATATATATGTATATATCACACTCCTGGCAGGATGTCCTTCTGCTCAGCCAGTTTATCCGCTCAGACGGAGGGATGTTACCGCGCAGGCTGACTGGTCTTTGTACAGAAGAGCACAGGAAGGTGGAAGAATGTGTGAAGATGGCTCACAGGGCAGGTAAGAGATCCTCATTGTTAATATTTTTATCTCACACTTCCTTGCTTAAACAAATCCCAATTACATACATGGGTACCCCAGAATTATTTTTTTTATTTATTTTTTACAAACGTTAAAGCGAAATTACTCCTCTGCTACCCCAAGAAATCAATCTAAACTTTGAGTAAAATATTGTGGCTAAAGTCGAAAAAGGTGCTACATGTTTGTTTCTAAAGCACCAACATAATTCGTTTTACTGAGCATTTAACTATGCGGGTTTACAAGTGTGTCACCACAGCCGAATACATTGATTACTGCTGTATATAATAGGAAGCTGAGCCAAGAATCCAGTGATTACTACTGTGTACACTAGAAAGTTGAGTCAAGAAGTCAGTGATTATTACTGTGTATATTAGGAAGCTGAGTCAAAAAAAACAATGATTACTGCTGCTGTGTATACTAGGAAGCTGAGCCAAGAATCCAGTGATTAGTACTGTGTATACTAGGAAGTTGAGTCAATAATTCAGTGAATATTACTGTGTATACTAGGAAGCTGAGTCAAGAATCAAGTGATTACTACTGTGTAAATTAGGAAGCTGAGTCAAGAATCAATTGATTACTACTGTGTATACTAGGAAGCTGAGTCAAGAATCAAGTAATTATTACCGTGTATACTAAGAAGCTGAATCAAGAGATTACTACTGTGTATATTAGGAAGCTGAGCCAAGTGAGGAGTTTGCAGGTGTGTCTGTACACTGTCTATTTAGTTCCCTGTTCCCGCAGGGGGATCCCATGTCTTCAGATACTCACTTATGTTGATATTAACTGTAGTGAATTAAATCACACCTAGTAACTTATATATCAGTCATAACTAAAAGGATCATAATGGTTCCATAGTGGAATCATAAGACAGTATTCATTCATTAATCTTCTTATAGTCCTTCAGATAGCTTGGACTTTCCATGTTGCATTTCTCCAGTAAGAGCCTGGATGACAACACAACAAGCACACAAACATTTCATTGTCTGAATCCTCATTCCCTCTAGTCCTTGTGTGTTTGGGAGTCTTATGTCTCTATAAACTGTGTACACACAGGTACCACACTGTACTCCAGTTTTCATGAAGAATTTTAACGAACACAAACTAGTCATTTCGACAAAGGCCAAATTAGCACTAAGCTGTATTATTCATAGCTAACCTTTCTATGTCTGTCTTCAGTGTTTAATGTTTGTCACCAGTGACTGAGGGAGAGATTTCTACCACAAACTGAAGGTGACACTATATCCAACACCAAGCTTGTTCCATGTGCTATGGTTTTTGTCTTTTGGAGCCAAACTAATCTCAGTGTGACATTCATATAGTACAGGAAACACAAGATACAGGATGCCAAAAAATGTAAATACAATAAAATGATCTAAAAATGGAGCACATAATCGGTTCCTTTTACTGTTTTTACGTACAGACACTTTTACCTGTGGAAACACTTTTTTTCATCTTGCTTGCCACGTTGTCTCAGTATTTAATATCATGTGAAATCTTTACACAGTTCTCGGACATTGTTATGTAGATAAGTGAACCCATTTAACGGGCGCTCCTGTCCTGTCCTGTAATATCTGTGCTGCCAGTATCTGTTTGGATTTTTTTTATTGAAGAGTTTTGAGTATAACAAAGATTTATGTATAACACAAGTTTATATTAGGAATATCCATCATGTACAATGGGTAATGATACATCTGTGGTATACCATTTGAAACTAATTTTTCACATATATAATTCCACAACAATATTCCTTTAAAGAAATGTGAAGGAGAGGAGGGGGGTGGGAGAGGGTGGAGGAAGAGGAAGAGGGGGAGGGGGGGAAGAGGAGAGAAAGGGGGCGAGGACAGGGGAATAACAAAATGAAACAAATTAAGATTGTTCATCTATCCAACAGGTAATCTTACATGAGTCGGAGCTTACTCTAAACATTTCACCCTCATATCTAACCTTCATAATTGTAGAGGTGGGGGTTAAGCGCGCATTATGGCTAAAACCCGTTTCTTGACTATAAGAAAGTCTCGCTTAACCCACTAGGCCAGTTCTGCCTTCCTTGATTTCTATTAGCATTGTTGTTGTTCTGTGCATTTAATTATTCTATTTGTCGTTCACGTATGTTATCCATAGTTGCCAGATTTCTGTAAACCTATCGGTCATCCCCAAAGATCACCATCTTAGTTCTTCCATTACTCTAAAGTGTTCTAACTTCGAGACCCATTCCCTGTGTCCTATGTGTTTTGTGTTTTTCCAATTAGTCGCTATTACTGATTTAGCCGCTGCCAACATAAACAACAGGAGTATTTAAATTTCTGTATAGGAATGTCTATATTGAGTAGTACCATAGTATCTATTTCACAGGGAATTGCCTTCCCAGATAATTCCTTTATTTTTGAGTTAACCATTTCCCAAAATGATCTTAAGTGGCTACAATGCCACCACATGTGGCCTATGTCCCCATTTTCCTCACCGCATCGCCAACACCGTGAGGACTCGTCTTGATGGAACCTGTGTATGTCGTGCGGTGTTCTATACCATGTGGATAGGGTTTTATAATTACCGTATTTATTCGAGTATAACGCGCAACATTTTCTACCAAAAAAAGAAATCAAAGTTTGGGTGCGCGTTATAAACGAGGGCTGGGGTGAGGTGGCAGTGGCGGCCGGTCCATTGAGGGCGCAGGTGAATTGTGAGTTCACACTGCGCCATTTCCGGGCTGCAGCCGCACACTGTACACGAGGGCGAAGAAAAAAAACGTCCCCTCGTCGCGTACGGTGGGCGGCCCGAACTGGGGGTGAGAATTCTTATTATCCGCTGTATGGTCGCCGCTTCATTTCCTCGTCTCCCACACGTTACGGTAAGCATTGCTTTTGTACAATTCAGTGTTTTGCGTACCGTAATTCAGTGTTCTTCATATTTTAATTGATATACTGGTTTACATTAGATGGCAACTGGTATCAAGAGAAAACGTTCTGCATATGACGCTTCATTCAAGCTCAAAGTTGTTGATCATGCTGAAATTCACGGAAATCGAGCAGCTAGCCGAGAATTCACTGTACCAGAGACGAATGTTAGAGAATGGAGAAAACAGAAAGTCGTCCTGAAAGATATGAATAAAACAAAAAAAGCACAACGAGGGAGACAAGCCATGTACCCAGATATGGAGAAGGAACTTTATGAATGGATCATTGACCAAAGAAGTAGTGGGTACATTGTCACATCACTCCACATTAGACTTAAAGCCCAAAAGTTTTGCAAAGATTCAAACTTCAAAGCCTCTAATGGATGGACACAAAAGTTTATGAAAAGGCATGGACTTGCAATACGCCAGAGAACAAAGATAGCACAGAAGCTACCTAATGATTTAGAAGAGAAGATTGCTTCATTCCATACCTTTATAATCAACCAACGCAAGCAGATTAATTTTGAACTTTCACAGATAGGCAATATGGATGAGACCCCCATGTGTTTTGACCTACCAGGCAACAGGACAATTGACAGCAAAGGGAAGCACACAGTCCAGATTAGAACCACAGGCCATGAGAAAACTCATTTTACCGTTGTGTTATCCTGTATGGCAGACGGTTTTAAACTTAAACCAATGGTGATTTTTAAAAGAAAGACTATTCCAAAAGGAGTTAAATTTCCACCAGGTGTCGTGATCCATTGTCATCCTAAAGGATGGATGGATGAAAAGGGAATCATTTTATGGTTAAATAAAGTTTGGAATACTAGACCAGGCGCAATCCTGAAGAAATCCATGCTTGTATGGGACCAGTTCCGCTCACACCTGACAGACACTGTGAAGGACAAACTGAAAAGTCTAAAAACATTTCAAGCTGTGATTCCAGGTGGACTAACCTCTATTCTTCAGCCACTAGATGTCGTTTTAAACAAACCCTTCAAAGACAGAGTCAGGGAAAAGTGGATTACCTGGATGAAATCCGACGACAAAGAATTGACTGCAAAAGGAAACCTCAAGAAACCTGGTCTATCTCTCGTGACATCCTGGGTTAAAACATCATGGGAAGACATACCAAAAGAAATGATCATCAAGAGTTTTTTGAAGACAGGCATCAGCAATAAAATGGACGGCACAGAAGACGACCTGCTGTGGAATTCAGACTCAGAAGAAAGCGAAGAAACTGGAGAAACAGATGTTCCTGCCAACTGGGACACTGATGAAAAATTAACTCGAGAAGAATGGGAACAAGTCTTTAGTGTATCTGATGATGAATCTGTCTTTGAAGCATTTTAAATAAATATTGTTACCGGTAATTTTATTTCGGTATTGTGTTTATACCAGTTTACGTTGTCAATAAATGATTTTTGTCATGGCCGCACGTATTAAACAACGTTTTTTTGTTAATTACAATGCTTGGTGTGAAACAAAATTTTATACCGATTTTTAATCGAAAATTAGGGGTGCGCGTTATACACGTGTGCGCGTTATACTCGAATAAATACGGTAATCTCGTGTAAGGAGACACTGGGATGGGAGTAAAAAGTTTTGTTAAAAATCCGTTCCCTATCGCTTAACGTTCAGTTAAGGTGTTTTCCCCATTTGCGTATAAACCACGGCAGGCCATGGTGTATGTGTATCTGTATTATTTCCAGGCATTTGGATATTGCCTTCGCCACTAGTGTTGTACTCATGCACATTTGTTCAAATTTGGTAATTTCTGTGAGAGACCCTTCGGGGACGTGAAGAGATTTTAGAAAGTGGGTCATTTGAAAGAACAGGAATTATTGGGTTAAGGTGTGTGTAGTTGTCTGTGTTATGTCTGCCAGTGTTAATGGTCCTTGGGTATTCCATACACTATCTAAAGGTATGTATGGTGAGTTTTCCATCCGGGTGGTTATTGGGAGTGGGATACCTTTGATTCCTATCGGAAACCTCAAGTTATGAGAGATGGGGTATCTTGGTGATAAGCTTGGAGATATGTTGGGGAGACACATTTATTGTGGCATCAATAGTGTGGTGGGTAGGTGTAGGGTAATCCATGGAACCCGTGTATGTCCACGGCAGGGCTTCCAGGGAGGTATGTGATATTGCTTGTTCTATAGTGATCCACTGTTTGGTTAGAGGTTGACATGAACACTCTTATTATTCTTGCCATGTGCATAGCGTAGTAATAGTGGAGAACGTCTGGTAGTCCTACTTCCCCTCTTTGTTTTGGTCGTGTAAGTATATGGTAGGCAATACCGGGTCTTTTTCCAGCCCAGATGTATCTAGTAAAGAGCGCTTTGATAGTGTTGAAATTTTTTTGTGGAATCCTTATAGGGATTGTGTTCACTAGGTAAAGTATGCGAGGAAGAATATTCATGGATATGACGTTTACCCTTCCCAACCATCTGAAGTGTGGTTTGTCCCATTTATGGAGATCATTTTGAATCGTGTTCGATATCTGAGGAAAATTTGCTTGATATGTGTCTTTTATATTGTTTGTAATATTTATTCTCAGATATTTAATGGATGTTGTGTTCCAATGGAATGTATAGTCCCTGCTAAGTTTCTCGTCCATTTCCCTGTTCACGTTTATGTTAAGAGCTTTACATTTTGTAGTGTTGATTTTAAAGTTGGAGTATGAGTCTTCGTGATTGGAGAGGGTAATGGTAAAAATGAGATCATCAGCAAATGCTGATACTTTGTACGACTGTGAACCTATCCTAATGCCTTTTATATTCTCGTGAGTCCTAACCGCCTGGAGTAGAGGTTCCAGGGCCAATATGAACAATAAGGGTGACAAGGGGCACCCCTGTCTAGTTCCGTTTGTTATGGTCAGTGGGTCTGAAAGTATACCATTCACTTTTATCCGGGCTGTGGGCTTGGAGTAAATGGCATTAATTAATGCCTGCCAGTTAGGTCCAAAACCCAGGGTGTCGAGGGTCATCTTTAGAAAGGGCCAGTCCACCCTGTCAAACGCTTTCTCCGCATCAATTGCCAACAGGATGGACGGCACCTCTCTCCCCCCCACCCATTGGACCAAATCCAAGACTTTAGTAGTATTGTCCCTAGCTTCCCTTTTAGGCACATACCCGGCGTGATCTTAGTGGATCAATTCGTTCAAAAATGGTCTCAATCTCATTGCCATAATTTTAGTTAAAATCTTAATATCAACGTTTATCAGGGATATGGGTCTATAGCTGCCACAAATCTAGGGATTTTTCCCAGCTTTAGGTAATACAGTTATGGTTGCTTCCAGGCTAGATTGGGGGTAGTGGTGTGTTTTGGGGCAAGGAATTCAGGGTTTCCAGGAGGTGTGGTGTGAGTTTTTCTATGAAAGTTTGATAGTACGTTGCTGAAAACCCATCTGGGCCTGGAGCCTTGTTATGTGGGGTGTTGCGTATAGCCTGTTGCAGTTCCTCTATCGTGAATGGTGCATCTAATGATTGGGCCTCTAAATCTGAACGTTTTCTCTGGGTATGTTTCCCTAGGTATCGTCTCATAGTCTCTGTGTTAGGTGGGGTGTGGTGTAGGTTATATAGAGATTTATAGAATTTACGAAACTCTTCTGCAGTATCTTCAGCTGTGTGTGCAGAAGTGCCGTCTGCCCTTCTTATTTTGGGTATATAGGTGCGTTGTTGTTGCTCTTTAAGTGCAGAGGCTAAGAGTCTTCCACATCTATCACCATGTGTGAAATATCTCTGTTTGGACCATAGCATAGCTTTTTTAGTTGTCGTTTAACAATATTTTCAATTCTGATCTTAGGGACGTTAGCTTAATAAATTCTGATTCTGAGAGAGATTTTTTGTGGGATTCTTCTAATGTTTTAATGTCTTGAATTAATAGTTTCCTAGTTTTGGATTTCTCCCGTTTTCAGGTGGGACCCCCATTTGATTAATTCCCCTCTGATTACGCATTTATGGGCCTCCCATTGTATAGTGGATGCAGTGTCTGGAGTCTTATTGGATTCAAAGTATTGGTGGATGGATGTTTCCATGGCTTTCCGTATCGTTGTATTCAGTAATAGGTGGGGGTTGAGTTTCCATTGGTATTTTGTTGTGGGTATGACAAAATACCAATGAGGTCTTTATGTGTTGTTAGAAAAAGGTCAATGCGTGTGTATGTATGATTCGGGTTAGAGTAGAATGAGTAGTCTTTCGTCTTAGGATTTAGTACCCTCCAACAGTCTGAGTTGGTGGTCCCAAAGTATCTTTCTCATCTGAGATCTTGCTGATGTTATATGGGCTGGACATTGTGAAGTACTGTCCCATTGGGCGTCCAATTACATATTAAAGTCCCCTCCTATAATAATTATAATCTCTGCGGACTTTCTGACCTTCGTCATTATACGTCTTAGGGTGGCACATTGGTGAGTGTTTGGTAGATATAAGTTAACTAGCATGATCGGAGTGTTTCCTATGAGTCCTATAAGAATGATATATCGTCCCGAGTCTTCAGATATCTGTTGCGTCAATGTGAAAGGGACTTGGGCTCCTATCAGAATTGCCACTCCTCTAGATTTCTTAAGACCGAAGTTATTATAGAAACTCAATGGGAATTGCTTATGCCGTAATTTTGTAACGCTTCCTTGCCTCTAAAATGGGTCTCTAAAAATACAATGTCCGCCTTCATTTTATGAAAATCCCTCATTGCCATGTGTCTTTTTTCTGGCGAATTAAGACCTTTAACATTACATGAGATTATCTGTAGTTGTTTGTCCGTATTATGTCTTTTCAGTCAGGGAAATCAGGTGAATTGAAGTCAGTGACTTTTCGCAAGGAATAGCTCACTTTCTTATCCTGAACACTGTAAACAGTTTGGATTTTTAACCTTTTCTCAGATGTTGAGTTGCACGAATTATGCTGAGAAAAGCACATTTGTAAATGAAAAGGCTTTGTTAATGATATTTCTCAGATGTCAAGTGTGCACATGTAAGATCCTGCTGTGGCGGCTCAGACTCCAATTATCGCTTTCAAAAAAATACTTTGCACCCATTTCCTCACTACATCCAGATTGTCAGAGTGACCAGTACAGTGAAGTGATCTTGCACAGGTCTTGTCAATAATGTTCAGGTAGAACTCTCCAGACCTTACGTTTGTTCTTTTGTATTTGATCCCAGGCCATAAAACCATCTTTAACGTAAATAAGCCAAAAGCCCTTAGTAGAAATCTGTGTTTATAGAAGATTTCTGCTTTATTCATTTGTACAGTTTGTTTTGTGGACACAAAGCTGTAATTCCTGTCCCAACAGCATGTATTCTGTCTGAGAGCCTTCAGATCACCTATATTTTCTGTGTGTGTGGAGTTTATGATGTTACTGAGGTAGATATTTTATTTGTAGATTAGTATTTCCTTACCAAAAGGTGCTGTAACACTCCTGGACTGGCCAAAACCTCCACGGGCACGTCTAACACTTTACTTTATTTCCAGGTCTCTTGCCAAATCACAGGCCTAAACTTCCAGAGGGAGTCATCCCAAAACCCAAATTCCAACTGAACAGGTGAGCCCAAGACATGCGGGTTAGAATAGATTACATCTTGGTGAAATTTGCTTCTAGTGATTAACCACAGACTGTATATGTTTATAAAGATTATATCCGTAATAATCCCCAAAACCCATAACTGGAGTGTAAGATTATACTAGTTGACTTTAGTTTCAATTTTACATATTAGGTCACGTGTTAGAATTCCTATGCTGTCCTACTGGAAGTTACCAATGATTACAGACCGTTATAGCTGTTTATCTAGCCTGTTTAGTTTATTGGCTTTTCTTACTTCCAGGTATCTCACCCGATGGTCCGTGTCCTCTACAAAGCCTATCTTGAAGAAGGGATTGAAATGGTGTAAAGTTCGTATGCCAGTTGGTCATCCGATCTTGAAGGACAATGTTCGTTATGGGAAGAAACATATGTACAGCAGGCACTGAGATGGGAACAGATTAGCTTACCGTTCCTTTTCAAAGTTTGATGGGTGGGCAGGACATGAATTTGTTCTTTGTCAGTATATGTGACGTTAACAATCTGTAGCTTTGTGCCCGAAGAAGGTCCAGACCAAAGATCTACACCAATTTGTTCTTCGTCAGTATATGGGAAGGTAATATATTCCATAGCTTTGTTCCCAATGATGTTTCAGACCTAAAATCTAAACCAATTTGCCATAAACATGGCATCTAAATAAATCTTAGTCTATAATAAAACTAGTCTTTTTCTGATACAATTGTGTTGGTGTTGTCAATCCCATTGGAGAATCTCAATCTCATAAATTACCTTGTCACACTAAGAATCACTAGAATTTTTTTGGTCCTCCTAATACCAGACTCTAAAATTCAGTACCGCTGTATCTCTGTTTAAATGTGACCAGAAATTGCTTTATTAATGTTTGGAAAACAAAGAACAGCAATTGTTGTATTCATAAATAACAGTTCTCGAGCAAAGTTCAAAATGTGGCGATACTGTCTGTTTCCTGTAGTTCCTATGGCTGCTCTGTGCTCGGTAAATGGAACATTAGATACTAAGCGGTTGAAATCATGAACGGCAGGTCAATGTTCCTCTCTCCGTTCCCGATGTATATGTAGCCATGTTGAGAAGTCAGAGGAATGTGATAGAAAGTCATTCCAAGCCAAAGGAGGCTGCGCAGGATCAGGACGCTGCCTCCCTGTTCAAACTGCAGACTCCATGAACCTGTCAATAAAGGAAATTGCCTGTTAACACATTATATCCAGAGTATTTACTTCTATAAACTTGGATTGTGTATAATTTTGAGCCCCTTTTATTAAGTGTCTCCATTTTAGTGGGCCAAATGTAATTGGACAAATTACTATAAACCTTAAAGGATTACTCCAAGCACTGTAACAATTACAGCTCACTGTAGTGGTTATAGTGCCAGTAGCATACTAGCATCCACCAAGAGTAATGTGTAAACGTACCTGGGTCCTCCAGGAGCCCACTCTTCATCCAGCTGCTCTAACCTGCAGCTCCGCTGGGTTCTCCTCTCGGGAGCTCGGAGTGTTGCCATGGCAATGCTCCGAATATCGCGTGAGTGAAATCTAGCAGCTCCTGAAGCTGCTAGAGTTCACTCACACCACTGGGACCACCAGTGCTTCCCCACCGGACCACCAGGGACTGCAGGAAATGTCCCCCCTCCCAGGCAAAGGTAAGCAGGGAGGGGGGGGAATCAAAATAAATAAATATATATATATATATATTTATTTGCCTTCCTACCCACACAGACCCACAATTACCCCCCATTCACACACAAACTGTACCCCTCACACTGCCCTCCCATACACTGTACCCCTTCCACACAAACTGTCTCACATACACACACTCTTATTGCACTCCTCAGACACACTACTGCCCCTATCCCCTACTACAGCCCCTATCTCAGCAGATCCCAGGTAAGTTGTCAAACAGTTCTTAAACAGTTTGACTAGTTACTCTGGGAGGGAACTACAGCACTACTGGCAACATAACCACTACAAAGTGCTGTAGTGGTTATTGTGCCTGGATTGTTTCTTTAAATAATCTGCCAGTGCCACTCCCAAGGTTCTGGACCTGCACTTGAATGGCAAACAATTCTGCCAAACAGGGGCCCAGTATATACCGCTGCGCTGTACATGTACACAACCTAGGAAATTCTTTTAATTTGGGGCGCCTTGGAAAAATATTGAAATATTAAGGGCGCCTTGAACCTAAAGTTTGGGAACCACTGGTATAATCTGAAGATTATTAGAAAAGTCTCGTAACACAAGTTGTCCGCAGAATGAGGACTCAGCACAATAGAGTGGATACATTAAGCATTTTAGGATGTAAGAATTGGTGAGAATTTGCTTTGGTGTGAAGGACACAGCAGGGGGTAAATATAGGTTAATTTGCCTCCACTGCCTTTCTGAGTGATCAGAGCTGCCATCTTCTCAAGATTCCCTGCATGCTCGGGGAATCATGGGAAACTATCCATGCCTTGCAGAATTAATAGAGAGTAGGCAGTTATTGAATAAGCCACTCCCTCTGTATTGATACCCAGAGTGAGCCAAACAGGTAATATCATCTTCCACCTGATTCAGCCTAAACATTAGCAGCTGTAAGGGTTTAGTGAATTTGTATGCTCTGAGATTCACAGAGACTATAGGGTAGGGAAAACGTGCAAAACTCTCCCCTGTGCTTTATTTATTTTGCAATCAGAAAAATATTTTATTTTCTTTGCCAGCTGCCAAAGGCTAGCTCTGTGGATTATAAAGTACTTGGGGGAGAGTATGAGGGTGCGGTGCAGGGAAACCTCGGAAATATGTCTAGTTCGTGGGAACCTTCCCGTCAGACGGGAGTGGTTGGCGATGTTTTAACACGAACGGCTGCGTTGAGTTTACAGGCACTTTGACCAGAACTATTATTCCAAGTTTCATCAACATTTCAGCAACTTGATAGCAGAAGATCTTTAAAATAGGAATGGAATTAGGGATATCTGATGTCTCTCATGAACAGGTTATATAGAGTGATTTAGAAAGAGCCATTCTGGATGATCTAAAGATGGAGCCGTCAGGAATGTACCATTTGTCTTCATGATGATTGCTTCACTTTTAGCATTTTTCCTGATAGGATAAGAAAGTTTCTGTAATCCTGAGACCTCCAGCAGTGAGACTCTTCATCAGCCATTCTGTCTCTTTATAAAAATATATAAATAGGGTGGCGCAGAATACAGTAGATCTAATAAATGCAGCAACCAAAAAACAAATCCTGGTAATGAAACTTGGATACAGTAATACAAAAGAAGTGATGGTGCGCAATAATGAATAAAAACCTCACTGTGGGTGTCTTTAAGGATAAAACCTCTATTCAATATATAATACAATCAGCAATCGAGTCACAAACCTAGGTGCATACTATGTGTATTAATAATATTACTTATTGGTAATACACCTAGTATGCACCTAGGTTTGTGACACGGATGCTAATTGCTGATTGTATTATATATTGAATAGAGGTTTTATCCTTTAAAGACACCCACAGTGAGTTTTTTTTATTCATTATTGCGCACCATCACTTCTTTTGCATTCTGTCTCTTTATTTCTCTGTCCAATAAAAACTAACTGATCGCAACACTCTCTCTGTCTATCCAAAGAAACTGTAGCTGTTCTCTCCTTTATCTCCCCATCTATTCTTTCTCAAGAGAGACAAAAGAACCTACTAGTCCAAAAAGACTATTTGTCTTGACACAAAATTTCGAGGAGAAAGATTGGGACCCATCCCTAGTCCTGGACATTGATTGGATTATTCAATATAATTCTGTAAATTTAATCCAAATGGGAAAAGTGAGGCAAAAATACTTTATCTAAAAATTATTTTATTCAGCCAGAGTTATAACTTTTTGAGTTTAATTTGCACAAATTCTGAGTTTAGTAAATAAGCTGGTAAGAAATATCTCAGGGTGCTGGTTAATTGTTTACAAGTCCTTTCTTTTGCATTGTTGACTTTATTGATGGTTCTTTTGCAGAGTTGTAATTACCTAAATTTGTGTTCAACTTAAATTCTAGAGCCTCGTTCAGCAATGAGATAATGGTTAAAGTGTCAGGATGGTGGGATTGTGATCAATATGACGTCACGATTGGCCCAACCTCAGCCATTCACATGTCAAATCCACTGACTTGTGACAAGTTTAGTTACTTACATTTAAACTAATTTTCATCACCTGTGTTCCATGCAGCCAGGTAAGTGGTCCCCCAACGGAAATAGTAATAAACTGAAACCGCAATTTCTGTACGGTATGATGTATATGTTCATATATGTTGATTTTCTTTGGTTTTCTCTGTTCATATAAACATTTAGCAGTTGCGCCTCTACTGATATGCAAAGTACACCGATCCGATTAGGTGTAAGGATCAGCTGTCCAATGTTTTGGCACCGGGCTTTGAGTGTTACCTTCCAGGTCTGTCCGAGTTGGCAGTTTATACTGATCGACAGCGGGTATCTCTATGCATAGCCAGATACAAATTTTTGAGGGTCTTGAGAAAGTGCTGCAATAGCACAAAACGCGCCGACTGGCGTCTGTCTGTTGACAGCAACATGATAGGAGCTTTTGTTACACTGCATGAGCTTTTGTCCATAGTGGCTGTTATTCCTGGCTCAGTTCATTAACCTGTATATATATATATATATATATATCAGACATGACCCTGTGATTTCCCCCAATATGTCTGTTTGGTGCAGTCTCTCCCTAACTCTGCCGTATCACTCCTCTCTTTGCATATCGTGAAAGTCTCACTCAGAACCTGCTCTACTATTCCCACTAGTACAGTCAACTTTCATATCCAACCATGGCAGCTTTCAGACAGATTTTCGTAAAACAGACTCTCCTTAGATGAGGACAGCATGTCCTGTATTCCCATTAAACGTGTACTTTGAGAAATCATTTCCAGAACAGCATTTACAGAGTACTATCAGATGGCCTCCTTATTCAATCGCTGTGAAGGTTGTTTTAGAAAACAGCAGAAAGCAGTTAATTTTAAAGTTGTAAAATAGATAAAATGTTATTGCTCATATCTCAAATAGCTAGTTCTAGCCGTTTCAATAGCCAGGCCAATACATCACTCCAGGACAAACAACAAACTAGTTATTATAATTGTATATAACTTTAATTAGATTTTAATCATTATGGGTTAAATAGTGCTTCTTACGCTTCAGTTTGATGCTAAAACATACTGATTACTACTCACTGGGATGGTTTAGAATGGCTTTCATTCAATTCTTGCCTCACGCCATACTCTGGGATGAGGGAAGCTAAAAGTTTTACCCTCATTAATCGGGAACTGTGGGGATTAACCAGGACATTCCACCTTTTCTAGAAAAAATACCCAAAACTGAAAAGAAATGACAGATCAGTGGATACTGTTCAATGTTTCTCATTCTCCTCTTCACTTGAACACCATGTGATATCACCTTGACCCCTCTACATCTCACGCAGCCTCTCTCCTAGGTTTGCATAGTCACACTCAGACCCAGCTAGTCCACTCCTCTCTCCTTCATAGTGCAGTAAGTCAAACACAGCTATCTCACTAATTTCCCTGCATAGTGTAGTAAGTCACACTCAGGCACAGCTATCTCACTAATTTCCCTGCATAGTGTAGTAAGTCACACTCAGGCACAGCTATCTCACTAATTTCCCTGCATAGTGTAGTAAGTCATACTCAGGCACAGCTATCTCACTCATTTCCCTGCATAGTGTAGTAAGTCACACTCGGTTGATATCTCACTAATTTCCCTGCATAGTGTAGTAAGTCACACTCGGTTGATATCTCACTAATTTCCCTGCATAGTGTAGTAAGTCACACTCGGTTGATATCTCACAAATTTCCCTGCATAGTGTAGTAAGTCACACTCGGTTGATATCTCACAAATTTCCCTGCATAGTGTAGTAAGTCATACTCAGGCACAGCTATCTCACTCATTTCCCTGCATAGTGTAGTAAGACACACTCAGGCACAGCTATCTCACTCATTTCCCTGCATAGTGTAGTAAGTCATACTCAGGCACAGCTATCTCACTCATTTCCCTGCATAGTGTAGTAAGACACACTCAGGCACAGCTATCTCACTCATTTCCCTGCATAGTGTAGTAAGTCACACTCAGGCACAGCTATCTCACTCATTTCCCTGCATAGTGTAGTAAGTCATACTCAGGCACAGCTATCTCACTCATTTCCCTGCATAGTGTAGTAAGACACACTCAGGCACAGCTATCTCACTCATTTCCCTGCATAGTGTAGTAAGACACACTCAGGCACAGCTATCTCACTAATTTCCCTGCATAGTGTAGTAAGTCACACTCAGGCACAGCTATCTCACTAATTTCCCTGCATAGTGTAGTAAGTCACACTCTGTTGCTATCTCACTAATTTCCCTGCATAGTGTAGTAAGTCACACTCTGTTGCTATCTCACTAATTTCCCTGCATAGTGTAGTAAGTCACACTCGGTTGCTATCTCACTAATTTCCCTGCATAGTGTAGTAAGTCACACTCTGTTGCTATCTCACTAATTTCCCTGCATAGTGTAGTGAGTTGTACTCAGTTGCTATCTCACTCATTTCCTCTGCCTATTGCCGTGAGATTTTTTTATTCTCCTGCTCATATACTTAGTGTTTTCAGACCCCCATGCAGTCGCAAACCATTGGGTAGAAGGAATAAGGCCAGAGCTGCTCTGAATAAATAGAGCCAGTTATGAAAGTACTCTTCATTGACATATCCTTAGGATGGTTCTTCATGTTTTTTACCTTTGTCTCTAGCAATAGATGTGACAAGTATAGAAGCGTATGATTGTACGATATGGATAAAGACCCTTAGGATGGTCAATGTTTAGGCAATGTACGGGACATCTCACACTTCTCACCTTTGGGGATATCGTGTTCCAGCGAGTCTAAGAAATCTAAGGATGGGTTCAGATCTGCCTTCTCCAGAAGAGATCTCTTCTTCGGATTCGGGGTTGGTGTGAAGTGGAAAAAAGAGCTGAGCTTTTTGGCTTCACTCACTGTAAGGCCTAGTGGGGGAATTAGAAGTAAACACCAGGTTATTTTTTGAATTAGCACAAAGCAAAGAAATAGGGATGGTACTGAACATCAGTGGGCAAATATTGTCAATGTCTATAGTAGAGAAAAGCATTAAAAAGAAGCAGGATAGAGGCATAGATTAATATTCTCAAATTCTTTCATAGATAGTAACAAATGATGTAATGATCTCCAAGCCAGTAAGACTGGTGCTAGGTGGTGATGCTCTGCAAGCCAATGTGATTTAAGCTAGGTGGTGATGCTCTGCAAACCAGTGAGATTAGAGCTAAGTGGTGATGCTCTGCAAGCCAGTGAGATTGGAGCTAGGTGGTGATGCTCTGCAAGCCAGTGAGATTGGAGCTAGGTGGTGATGCTCTGCAAGCCAGTGAGATTGGAGCAAGGTGGTGATGCTCTGCAAGCCAGTGAGATATATTACACACACACACTCTCTAAAAGGACCAATATTTTGAATAGGAAAAAGAAATATACCAATAATATGAAAGGCTATGTCTTGCCACCCCAGGTGATTGAGTAATATATAAAAATACATAATAAATATTGTACGTGCTTATATATTACTCAATCATCTATTGTCCCTCTCTGGCTATCTCCTCATATAATGCTACCCTCACCTCTTCCCTAGATGCTGCAGCCCCATTCCAAGTACTGCTCTTTCATCTGGCGTTGTCCTTGCTCCCCTTAAACCCTTAAGGACCAAACTTCTGGAATAAAAGGGAATCATGACATGTCACACGTCATGTGTCCTTAAGGAGTTAAGCATGCTACTGTCGTACCCATCCTAAAAAAGCCATTCCAACCATGGTCCCATATCCCTGCTCCCTTTTTCCTCAAAGCTTCTAGAAAGACTTGTCTTTACTCGTATGACTCAATTCCTAAATTCCAACTCCCTCCTCGATCCTCTTCAATCTTGCTTTCACCCCCTCCACTCTACCGAGACTGCTCTTATTTAAGTTATAAATTACCTAATCACAGCCAAATCCAAAGGCCACTACTCCATATTAATTCTTCTTGACCTCTCTGCTGCCTTTGACACTGTTGATCATGGCCTCACTCTACAATCTTGGTCTCTGTGACACAGCCCTCTCATGGTTTTCCCCTGTCTCTCCCAACGCTCCTTCAGTGTCTCTTTTGCCAACAGCACCTCCTCGTCCTGTCTCAGTCGGAGACCGGTTGACGGTACCTGTCTCACCCCATCCTTTCAAGCTCGCTGTCTTGGCGAGCTTGAAAGGATGTCCTGGCCTCACCTTTGTGCCTCATGTCCAGTCTGTTTCTAAAACATGTCGATTCCAACTTAAACATTGCCCACATATAGAAAATATTGAATGGTCTAAAATGCTAACTCAAACAAGAAAAGCCATACATTGTCTAAATTTAATAGAGATACAATACGAGTTGGCGAACAGGTGGTATTATAATCCCTTGAAATTATCTAAAATATATCCAGCTAGATCCTAAGTGTTGGAGGTGTGGTAAAATGAGTGCAGATATGATACATATATGGTGGTCTTGTCCTGAAATATGCAAGTTCTGGCAGATAATATTTAAATGGATAGAGAAGTGGACATTAAAGAAACTAGAGTACTCTCCTGCATCCGCATGCATCCTGCATCCTACACATAGGTTGGCAAATAATAGAAAAAGATAAACGAGATCTAATAATCCATACTTTATTAGCAACAAAATTACACATAGCTAAAAATTGGAAATCTCACCATCCACCAAAAATAGCTGATATAAAACTCCAAATTATAAACCAATGTCAAATGGAACAAGGGATACATTAATTTTTTTTTTTAGGTGTTCTGTTTTATATGTACTTGTGTCTATTGTATTTATACATTTTTGGAAAATATAAATAAAGATTAGATCTTTCTCTCCTGTCGCTCCTCTCACACCTCACTCCTCTACCAATCCTTACACTGGCTTCCTGTATCCTACAGGTGTCAATTTAAAATACTAACCCTTACCTATAAAGCTCTGACCAACTCTAGCCCCTCTTTTCTTCACTGATTCATAGGTATGCCCCCTCTCGGTCTCTCCGCTCTACTGGTGACCTTCTGTCTGCTGCTCGCACCCTTACTGCAAATTCATGCCTGCAAGACTTCTCATGGGCGGCTCCTTTCCTTTGGAACAGCCTGCCTACCCCTGTCAGATTCTCCCCTAGTCTTCAATCCTTTTAACAAGTCCCTCAAAACCCATCTTTTCAAAATTGCTTATGTCCTCCAAGAGTAATTTTTATCTCTCAAACCTTCCTCTCGCTCTCTCCTATAGGGCCACACTTCACTCTGAGCTCCAGCTCTGCTACTTTCCCACTATATCTATTTGCTGTCTCTCTCAATACCCTTCCTATTGTGTTTTTATACCCCACCTCCTCTAGACTGTAAGCTCGTTTGAGTAGGGTCCTGAACTACTCATTGTTCCTGTTACATTTTGTTATTGTCTCATTTGGTAAATTCCTCTTTTATTGTAAAGTGCTGCGGAATAAGCTGGCGCTATATAAATACCAATAATAATAATAATCTGGGGTGGCAAGACATAGCCTTACATATTATTGGTATATTTATTTTTCTAATTCAAAATATTGGTCCTTTCAGAGTAAAATATTTAATTATACAGTAGCATACCCACATTCAAAAACAGACAAACTCACTGACACAAGCTCATAGATGCACAGATAAACAATCTCATTGATATACATATGCTCATTGACATAAAAACACAAACTCACTGATGCACACAAATAGGCTCACTAACAGACAATCTCACTGACACACAAGGACAAGCTTATTGGTACACAAACAAATTTAGTAAAGAAAAACTGACAAAAACAAGCTTACTATAGACAAGCTCACTGTCAGACACATGCTCAGTAACACACACACATGCTTCCAACAGACAAGCCCCACTGACACACACAAGTTCACTCACTAGCAGGAACACAAACACAATCACTGTCATGGCTGAAGCTTACCTGGCACTGATAGGTGAAGTTGCCATTTTGTGACCTGTTCCTCCCAGAGGTCAGCAATGTGCATGTGGGGGTTGGGCTTGTGTGTGAGAGGCAGAGCTTCTGTTCAGGATGCGAGGCTTGCCGGCCAGGCATACAACCGAAATGGAGTTAAATTTTGAAGGAAGACTGACAGACAGCAGCCTAATTGCGACACACCAGCCCCTAGAAACTCCCTCTTTACTCCCCTCGGGCTGAGACAGGCTGGCACAGTCCGAGGTAAAAATAATTTCAATGACATTAGCCTCATGATTTGTACTGTCTGCCTGGCCCCAGATATCGCGGCCCACTGGGAAATTTCCCGTTATCCCGGTGGGCCAGTCTGGCCCTGATAGGATATACATGGTAATCAAAATTATTCAACCCCCACTTATTGTCAACATTTACAGACTTTCAGTTGTTTGCAACACGACGAAAGCTTCAAGTGGTTTTCACAAATTCAACTGAAAATGCAACTTATAAGGTCTCAAAAATATTTAACCCTCTGAATAGCACAAATGTACAAAACAAGTGTTGCCTGAAGCAAACCCGATGCAATTAATCAAGGACATCATTAGTTGCAGCAGCAGAGCTTGAGCTGGGATACTTAAAATACCTGAAATGGCTAGTGGTTTCTTGATTGCCATGTTTGATTGCATGTTAGAAATACGGTTAGAAATACAAAGTTAAGGGGGGCGGGGCCTGACAGCCAAGATGGCCAGCCACATGTCCTAGGAGCTCCTGTAACAATTGGCAAACGTGAGCTGAAACCGAGCAACAATATTACGCTGGAGGCACAAAGTGACCGGGAACAGACCCAGAGCAAAATGACAAACAGAATGATACCAGTCCGGTACCGGTGCACCATGGAAAAACCTCCGTCGGCCATGCGGCCTACACCAGAGCAAAGCCTGAGGCCTGGGGGAGGCGGTCGATCTCCCGGCGCAGGACGAGAGCAAAAGCAAGTGTCTACCACAGCCCTGCTACCCCCCCCCTCTGGACCGGCGGGGCACATCCCGGTCCTCGCTGGGGACGATTACCCCCACATCACCGCCTAACCAAGCGATTAAACCACAAGTCAAACGAGACAAACTGAGCCCAGCCAAGATGGCGGCTCAGAAGCAACCTATTACCAAGCGAACACCCATTACGCCACCTAAGCACACAATGGAGTTTGTGACCCGGCTAAGCTCCTATCTCTGGGCGAAGTTCAAAACCCAGAGTCAAACCTACAAGCTAGCGATGAGAGAAGTAAAGGCGTGGATACGCCCAGCAACCCGGCGCCATCTGCAGGGTAACCCACCTTTTAACTCACGAGCAGCCTTTGGACGGAAGAAACACCGAAGCTCAGCACGGCGGGAAACGGCACCGGGGCCCTCAGACAGCAGCGCTCACGACCCCAAGCCTCAAAGTAGGACCCGCCGATCCACCCGTCCAACCTTCCACCCAGCGGCACAAACAACTCTAAACCAGCACAGAGGAAACCCTCACGACACTGACCAGTCTCACGGCCTACACTCCTGGGACGCACGGGATCAGCACCCAGCAGCAACACCGGCAGACCCGGCGGCACTGGCCCCACGCAGGGGCATCGGCTGAATGAGCTCTCTTGGACAATCCAAACAACCCCAAGCATAGCATACAAGGACACAACGCCCATACCTCATCCATGCCGAACTGTGAAGCGGCCGTAATATGCTGAGACTTGGGTGAATGCTAGCTGACATTATACCATCAGACCCAGTGGTTTCAGTATACCTTGCAATCTTACCAAGTTCCAAGTTCCTGCTGACTACCTCTTTCTTACCTAAAGAGAACTGAGTACCTGAGGTTTTTCATACTACTAGCCATATATAGAGCGCATTTAAACTATGTTTATATCTAGTTTGTATTTACTTCTGCTCATCACTCCCACCAATAACAAGACAGGAGGTAACCCACTGACAAACGACACTAACCCATAATCTGTGTGCCCGTTTGTCTTCTTTCGCAAAATCCAGCCTATAACCTATGGCGCACACTAATATTGTATACCCCTGAGTGGTACTTACTGTCAGTTAATCGGTCAAATAAGCTGGTTAATATTCTTGAAACGAGCGAATACTTATGCTAATACATAACGTGTGAGAATTTTGCATTACGCGTAGCTTGTTCATAACTAAACTGTGGACCTAATCTCCTGCTACTTCATGTTATTTCATGTTTGTATATATTACTTGCTCAGTTGACGACAATAAGCCGTCGGTTTAATGCCATACGTACGAGCACCCGAGATAATACTCTGAGCCAGTTAGGCAAAGTTAAAACGGCTCTAATTGCTATTGTACAGGTTAGAATCATAGCTTGTAGTATGAATAAAGCACTGTGACCCACCTCAATAGACAGGCTTTGCTAGCCAACACACAAAATGTTTATAAACCTAAATGTGTTACTAACCTGTGTTTTTCTATCCTTTAAAAAATTTGTGCGGTTAAGTCATGCCATGACTATGTATGCCAATGAAACGCCTGTAAACGCTGTTGTGGTGCTACAGGTATCTCTGTTGTAAAATCTAATGCACAAGAAAAATAAAGAATTATAAAAAAAAAAAAAGAAATACAAAGTTAAGAAAATCACCTCTGTGGCGAACACCCCGATGGGAAGAGGGGTTTCGCCGCCAGAGATGTTCTTTTTCCCAATCTGAGTAGAGCTGCAATGATCCTAGAAGCGATGATCCTAAAACGTAGTGAAATAGCTATTGTTGCTGTTCCCTACAAACACGAGACGAGGCTCTGTGTGAGTGTAAAACTGGAACTGGTTTAATGGGAGACACAGCTGGCCTTTTATGTAAGTCCCCAGGCAAGGGATTTCTGGTGACACATTCCAGGGACATTTCCCACTGGACTTGAGAGGGGACAGCAACATAAGCACACACATAATTACATTACCTCTCTAGTCCAGGACAAGCGTAATAAAAATACGTAAAGCTATAACTTTAATATTAAGATATCCCTACAAATATTATATCCCCGGATAGCCTGAGTTTGAGCGCCCAACATGTGTCGAAATCACTTTGATCCCACGTATGTAGCTGAAGCGCCACCGGGGTATAGTTTTGAACAACCGCACATGAGGCGACTGCCCAAAATAGTTCCACGAAATCAGGCTGTGCGGTCGGTCTATTTCGGGAATACTAAACTCACAGTTTTACATACAAAACAGAGTTCGGGAATACGTTTTCAGAGTATTGGTCATTCGACTAATGTTTTTACCGAATGCTGTTTCGTTCTGATGACTAGTGCCCAACATACTGGCGTATGGAAGTCCTAGCGGTGTTCGCGCTGTCAAGTAGCCAATTTTAGTTCCATACACTCGATGACCAAACACCACTGGCTGTGTTCGTGTTCCAAGATGGACGCTGCCACATGTTCGCACATACGAACGACGACCACCCAGCCGACCGTTTAGAATGTTGAGTTGCTTGCGGTTTTCAGAGGTGTTAGTTAGGTTAATGGGGTCAACCATGTCACACTCTGCACCTGGGTGGTTGGTCGTTCAGTAGATTGGTCAGTATTCGAACGGGGCAAAGTGGAAATAGATAGGGGATGTATTCCACCGAGCAAACAGGCGAACAGGATCGAAAGTGCTATAAAAGCCAGGGACAGGGAGATCTGTCACAACCACCTTTCACAGACAAGGAACAAGCTACAGAAAGATAGCGAAGACACTGAATGTTCCTAAAGACACCGTTGGAAGCATAGTTTGCAAGTTCAAAGTTGAAGGAACAGTGGTTACACTACCTGGATATGTTAAAAAAGGAAGCTATCAATGGCTGCAACCAGATTTCTGAGAAGGCAGGTTGTATAAAACCCTTGAGTAAATGCAAAAGACCTGCAGCAAGACTTTCAGTGAACATAGTAAGGCGTGTATTAAACGCAAAAGGTTTTCAAGACTTACACCTCTACTGACCCAAAAGCACAAGAAAAGTCTGCTTCAATATGCTCAAAACATAAATAAATACATATAAAAAAGCCACAGAAGTTTTGGGACTCTGTTCTGTGGAGCGATGAAACAAAAATGTAAAACTTTTACACCCAATGGATTACCGGTATGTCTAGAGGAAGGAGAATAAAGCATATGCTGAAAAGAACACACTGCCTACAGTTAAGCATGGTGGTGGCTCAGTGATACTCTGGGGCTGCGTTGTCACTGGAAACCTGCCGCATGTGGAAGGCAAGATGGAATTATTGACGTATCAGGAAATCCTAGGAGAAAACGTGATGTTGTATGTGAGGAAGCTGAAACTTGGGTGTCATTGGACCTTCCAACAAGACAATGATCCAAAGCATACCTCAAATTCCACCAAGACTTGGTTGCAGAAGTAGTCCTGGAAAATTCTACAGTGGCCAACACAGTCACATGACTTGAACGCCATAGAAAATCTCTGGTGGCATTTGAAGAAGGCAGTTGCAGCACGCAAACCCAAAACTATTACTGAACTGGAGGCCATTGCTCATGAACAATGAGCTAAGATTCCTCAGGAACGCTGCCAGAAGCTGGTGTCTGGCTATGTATCTGGTTTGCAGCATGTCATAATGGCAGAAGGGTGCTCTACTAAGTAGTAAAGATGCTTGCTATGAAGGGCAATAATTTTGAGACTTAAAAAGTCATAATTTGAATTTGTGGAAACCACATGAAGATTTCATTGTGTTGAGCTATTTCAATTGCAAAAGCCAGATGATGCCATACGTTTTGAACATTTTGAGACACAAGCTTACAGGTAGGTCAATTAAATCTAGGTTAGGCAGGGTGGACTGGAGAGCTATTACCACCAGAGCCCAGGCTACAGTGAAATAAAAAGGTGCCCACCCAGAGTTACTTAGAGAGGGAAACCTCATGCCAACACAAACTGTGATTTCTCACCTCTGAAGCAATAATTGATCTGGACCTGTCCGAGAGGGTTCTTAACGAAAGCTCCACGTGGCACCACAGCCGCCTCCTTGTCTATCAATGCAATTGTAGCAACCAGACGGGACTCTTCCTTTATGTGGGTCTAAAGAAATACACAGATGCACACAAAAATACTGAGAAACATTCGCCCCATTTATATCTACATCATGCCTGCCCACTACTAAAGCAAAGTAAATGATATACTTGTCAGGACACTTATAGTGGGGCTCCTGCATGGATAGATGCACGTATATAGAGAAAGGCAGGAGGTCGATGATGATAGAAACCTCATCTTCATTAACCGGGAACTAAAACTAGCTTAGGATACATGGAGAAACGGGGTTTACGAATGGGAGAGTGAGAAGACATTATTAATAATTATTTTAGAGAACGCAGCAGAATTAACAACAGTGAGCTCAGTGTGGGAGGGAAGCAGTTAATTAAAAAGATAGTTGGGACTGTGAGAATAGATGGTCATTAGGAAGTGGAGGAGGTACACATGACAACGGACACAGGTGATCTACAAGAGTGTAGGATGACATCACAGTGCGGCATATCAGAGGTCATGTCAGCCATGGCTGAGCACCCATAGAGGCAGCGGGTTAGTGAGCCATGCGAGAAGGAAGTAATACAGAGAATGTGGAACTATCAGTGGAGGATGCAAAGAACCCAAACTGTAATGTGTTCTAGAACGAGATACGAATAACCAAGGAGACAGATTATTACAATATATAAAGAAATGTGTATGAATAGGATGTCAAAACAGGAAAAAAGATAGGAAAGAGAACATGGCACTAGGATCAAAGCACAGCTAGTTAAGGCCCACACCCCTGCCTTATTAGCACTAGGTGGCGCTATGTGGATGAGCTTGGATGACATGTTTGAAGATTCTGCTCATTAAATGGCATACAGACTACTTTGGTAATATTGTGTGACTATGCTGATTATACAAATGTCAGTAATTGATTTTAATGGCAAGACACACACTCACTGTATTGGGGATCATTTCCATCTAAATAATGTGTTCCAACGGGCTGATCTTTCTCACCTGTTGCTCCTCCCATACCTCGCCCCTCTGTCGATTCTTACACTGGCTTCCTGTAATCTATAGGAGTTAATTCGAAATACTAACCCTTACCTATAAATTTCTAACCAACTCTAGCCCCTCTTACAATTCTTCACTGATTTGTAAGTACGCCCCTTCTCGCTGCTCTGCCGGTGACCTTCTCCTGTCTGCTGCTCGCACCCTTACTGCTAGCTCAAGCTTACCCCATCAGACTCTCCCCTAGTCTTCAATCAATTAAATAGTCCCTTTAACCCCTTAAGGACACATGACATGTGTGACATGTCATGATTCCCTTTTATTCCAGAAGTTTGGTCCTTAAGGGGTTAAACGCATCTGTTCAGAAATGCTCATGGCTTCCCAGAGTAACTTCTATGTCACATATCTGTCTCTCGCTCTCTCCTATAAAGCCACACTACACTCTCACCTCCAGCTCTGCTACTTTCCCACGTTATTTTGCTGCCATTCCTATCGTGTTTTAATACTCCACCTCCTCTAGGCTGTAAGCTCGTTTGAGCAGGACCCTCATCTACCTATTGTTTCTGTATCATGTTATAATTGTCTCATTTATTGTTAAATTTCCCTCCTTTCATAATATTGCAAAGCACTACCAATAATAATAATAAAAAAAGGGGGAGCATCACCATCTTAAGAATACATTGCACATAGATAAATATACTATCTACACATTTCACAAAGCCCCCATTGTTTTACCATAAGTTTCCTAGGATACTAATAGGCCTGTAATAACATTATTGCTGAATAATTATATGTCCAAGTGGTTATTGGAGTAAAAGTTGCTGTTCTTGAGTCCAGATGATGCAATATAAAGTAAATAACTCCTGTTACTTACCGTTACTTCCTCGCTGTACTCTGCATTGCCTTCCCCCACCTTTCTCTGAGTGACATGTTCATACTCGTGGGATGGGTCTCCTATAAATCTGCCACGCACCACCTGGGTCTCTGCAATGAGGTCCTCAGTGGCCGGAGGTAGGAGGCACCAGTCCATGCAATTCAAACTGTAAGATAAGACACAAAGACAAATGTTCTTATTTTACAGATGTGGCAGACCACCCGGTCACCCAGGCGCCACGAAAGACATATCCACTGGAGTCAAAATAATATTTACCATCAAAATTACAAATGACAATAAGTTTCACAGACAGTCCTTTGTCAGTACACAAAAATAGGTACCATTACACATATTTTCCTTGTAACTAGGTAAAACACCTTTGAAAAGATCCAAACAAGCTTCAAGTACATTCAAACCAGCCTCAAAAGGCTGTAAAATATTAACAAATAGTTTAAGAATCACTCGGGAATGCATTCCCTAATGATTCACAATCTGCTTCCTGAATTAAAGTGTGACAAACGCTCCTTCCCACGGACGTATGCCATGGACACTGTTTGGGAGTTATTATATATGTAGCCGGATACAGGACCTAACTACACTGTATGGATATGAGCGCGATTTGCAGAACTTGGGCGCTCAGGTCAGGGCTGTTTAATAATGTATTGTTTGTGGGGTCCCCTTATTTGCAAATCATGTTTGGGCTTGATTGGAAGATTGTGCTTGTCCCATTCTAGATGTGATAAAGATGAGGCTTGAGTATTAATCAGTGGGTAGGTATTAATGTCTCTTCTGGAAATGATATTGGAACACAAAGCTTGTTCATATCAAAGGACTCCTTATCTAAGAGGAAATCAAGACATATGGCAAATGAGAGAGTTAGTTTATACTGAAACCAGACTTCCAGGCCACTTATGCGGGACCAGCTTCAAAGAGGAATTTAGGTTGTAAGCTCTGACCTCCCATACAATCAAATTAACTCCTTTTGCAATTGACAAAACTACCTCTACCAGGCAGCCAGTATGCACTACACAAATTACATTAAATGGCAATATTCTATAGTGTACCCTTGACATGACACCTCCCCCAGATGAGAGACGCAGTGGGAGAAGGCTCTCTACCTTGCATATCGGCACTTGTTCTTTTTTTGCTTTCCCACTCACTGCGCTCATTTAGTAGCTCTAAGGGAAAGAAACCAATGAAGGGATCTGAGTGATATTTCTGAAAAGTGTGCGCTCAGATCCAAGCCATTCGGTGATATTACTTTCGTGGGGTTCTGAAGTAATTAAAATGTATTTTTGGGGTGTTTTAAATTGTATGCTTTTCTGTACCGGGGAGATAATAGAGTTTGTACAGTTCCTGACTTGGTCAAGCCACAGCGACTGGGGCAGAAGCGCTGAGGTTTTCCCCTGTTCCAGCTAGGAAGCAGAGGTACTGAGCCGCAGTACAGGGCGCTCCGCTACATAAAGTATAGGCATCAAAACAACTTTAGTTTAATGAAGCTAGGATTAGTGCTGCTTGGACGGAATAAAAGTGATTTAACTCCTACATGGCTGAGAATTGAGCAGTGAGACTGCAGGGGCATGATCTATACACCAAAACTGCTTCATTAAGATAAAGTTGATTTGGTGACGATAGTATCCCTTTTTATAGAGGGAATATGAAAGGAACTGGATGGAATATGTACCCCAGATTGAATCTCCACTCATTATAGAGCATCCCTGCCTTTTGCCAAAGGATCGAAGAAGTGCAAAAACAATCTTGCGGGGGCGGGGCCGGGCCGACTGGACGCCATCTACATGAGCTCCAGCAACAAAATGCATGAAACAGCACCAATACAATTAAAAGCCGCACAAAACAAGTAAAACCAGCCGCACCTGACAGGGAGAAAACCCTGACTTTCAATCGGTGCCTACATGAAGTCGACCGCGGGACGAGCGGGCAGCGAGGACTGGGTCAGGCCTACACGCGGCCTCTGAGCACCGGCCGCCATTGCCGCAAACTGGCGCAGCATAGAGCCAGCCCGTCATAAGGCAAGCATTCCCGGCATGGGGAGACCCTCGGCCCGGGGCACGGCCCCGTCTCCCCCCCCCCGGCCGGTGGGGGTTATCCTGGCCACATGGCGGCGACAGGAACCACGACGGGAGCCCCCGCGTGGACATTATGCCGACTGCCTAAACTGGCAATGGCAAAGACGGCCAGCCAGCTGTACTGGACATCTACACTGAGGGGAAATACTTTTAGTGATGAAAGCACCCTGGCAGGGACAGAGAAGACACAGAAGCTCAGGAGGTTGGGGATCTGACGCAGCTGAGCCAAATTACTGAAATGGCTTCCCCTCAAAGGCACCGTTGAAAGAGGAGTGCAGAGTCATTAAAGGAGATAACTTACCGAGGGGAGACGACCTGGAAGGCAGGGGTGGACTCCGGTGCCGCCGCGCCCCTGAGGGACCCCACGCGATGCCGGCCAGCCTGCAGGAAAAGTGAGTGTCCGGGCCTCTGGGTCTGGGAGGTCCCCAGAGAGCCGTGTCCCTGAAGCTGAGAGCCCTGTGGGGTGGGTTTGCGCAGCCCCCCCGGCAGACCGGTAGCCGGGAGCGGCGTGCACCGGTCCCAAGTGTGAGGCCGGCACCAGGAGAGACAATGGGACACAATCTTCACTGGGTCTGAGGCGGTGCTGAGGAGGTGCAGGGAACGGGAGACCCGCGGATTCTAGGTGTGGGGGTCTAGCGGATAATTTCTGCCCCCGAGTGCCCACAGCATCGTGGAGGACTCAGGTGCTGGGCTGGAACTATCGCGGGGGGAGACTGACGGAGACTTGGCGCCCCGGGAGACGCGCCACGGCCATGCCATGGTGGGCCCTTATCGGATTAACATTACGAACAGCTCTGCTCTTACACTGTTATAGTTAATATGGTTATACTAGAAGTTATGAGGTGTACCTTTGAGCCTTAACCTGATGGGTCTAGCCTAAATGACACATGCACCTGCATATAGCAACTAAGATGTTTATTATCCGGCTCACGTGACTAGATAACAAATACGTTTAAGGGGCACATAATCTGGGCATTGCTGTTAGTCAAAATACTACAAAGCTGCACTGGGCTTTACATCAGGATAAGTTAAACATATGCACGTTATACATCTTAGCCCTCATTATGCGTACATTATGTGATTGCTCAGTTACTGTTATAATTTTGCGAGGAATTACTGATAGTCTAGCACTAGACTATACAATGTGACTTATACACATCAGCTTCAGAATGGATATGTAATGTTGTAGTGCCCCCACGGGCAAAAGCTTGACGCCACTTATTAATGCCTACTTGAATAGCCAGAATGTTGTATTATACGATGTATATTAATATGCTTATATCTTAACACAGAAATGACCGCGCTCATCTAGTCACATATATCATGTGTTAACTCATTCTGAGAAGACGCTTAAGGAACAGGCTCACATATAGACACCTTAGTTTATTTCTTTTAACACTGCATTAGTTTGCCTATATACTTCATTACATGTATTGCATGATCAGCTACAGTTTACCTCAGATAGACGCATTATAGGATGTTGTCACTTTTTATGCTGTAATGCTTAGAAATGTATTCCTGCAAAGTTCAAGTACGTTTATATGTTCTGATCACTACGCCTCTGCGCAGGCGATAATCTGCATTTATTCTTATGTGCTAACATTTAAGCCTCTACGTAGGCGACCGTTCACCTTAATGAATGCTATAACTTACTGCTTAAGCCCCTGCGTGGGCAACCTCTGGCTTTATTACGAACCAGTTCGCAATATGCACTTATATTGTGAAAACAATAAAAAATATTTAAAACAAAAACAATCTTGCCACCTGGTTGTACCAAGATGTTACCTGAGGAAGGCCCATTTCTAAAATATGGATTGGAATGCCAGAGAGAACAGGGGCTGCTCTGTTGGAACTAATGCCACTCTGCTCAGGAAATCTGCCAAAATATTTACTTTGCTCGGGAGATACACAGCCCTGAGACCTTCTATATTCTTCTATGCCCAAGGCATCAGAGGGAAATAATCTTCCTCAGACTCCTGCTTTTTGTTTCCCCTTGGTGATTGAAATTGGACACCACCAAAATGTTGACTACTTTCAATTTAGCCCAGAGATGTTTCAGAGATGGTAAGTGGAGAAGGGCCTGAAAAAACTGATTGAAGCTTTGTAACATTAGAGGACTGGTGAATTAATCTGTGGCTCCAGAGATCTTGTATATGGTGTGAACCCTGATGCACTCCCCAACCGGTCTGACAGGCATCCGTTGTCAACATTAAAGGAACACTATAAGGTCTGTTTTTAGAGTTAAAAACACTATAGTGTCCCTTTAACCATGGAATCTGGTTTTGGTGAGGCGCCTTGTCCTGAGGCTTCCATGGGGAGAGTGTCTGAACTCCCAAGAGGCTAGGGGTACCATAGACACAAGTAAGCCGAAGAAAAAAAAAAAAAGAGGTGCAAAATATCCTGCATCCAAATGAAGAGGACAGGGAAAAAAAAGACTGAGGGGTAGGGGATGGAGGTCCAATTTAGAAGTGGGAGAAGCTATACCCATCTGTATTGCTGCCATGGAAATATATTTGAACTTAGTAGGTATTATATCATTACTGGCTATGTAACATTATTATTATATAATTACCTGTAGAAGGTAGTTCTTCTCCTCGCCCCTGCTGCTATGTCATATTATATTATTATTAAAATTACCTTTAGAAGATCCTCCTAGCTATGTCAGATTATATTATTATAATTACCTGTAGAAGCTCCTCCTGGCCTGCAGCTCCTCTCCTGGTTCCTGTGCTATGTATTATTATATATTATGATTATTACCTGTAGAAGGTTTTCCTGGCCTGCAGTTCCTCTCCTGGCTCCTGTGCTATGTCTTATTATATTTCTCACCGTGGCATCCAGACGGCCAGACATGGTCACTCCAGAAGTGCCCAACAGGGGATTTGAACTGTGGTCCTCATGTGTCCTGTTCCTGCGTTCTTGCCTCTGAGACACTTCAGAACTTGTTTATTCTAGAATTGTCTGCAGTACTAGTGGGCTGGACTTCACCAGTGGCTCCTACCTGTCTATCAAAGTCCACCTGAGGCAGATTGATCATTACTCCAGGTAGGTATAAAACACTGCCTCTCCCTGAGCGCAGTGTCAGTTCATTGTACCCTGTTTCCTAAGACTGACTTGACCCTTTCTTCTTGGATTATCCGTTATTGCCTGTTCGCTGCATGCCCTGACTTTTGGAACCGTGTCTGACTACTCTTCTGGATTTGCCCTTGTCTGTACCGCGTATTGGAAACACCTTTCATGCAAAGCCCCCGTGCACAGATTCACATTTCTGGTGGTTTCTAACCTTACCACCTTGCACTGTGTATATCTGCAAGGGTGAGCACAAATCTCTGCCTACCGGACCCCAACTAAGGTAAGCCGTGACATAACGAACTGACCATCATGGAAATGTTCAAACTGCTTACCAAGCAAGTATCCAGCCTAGCCCAGACTGTTTTGGAGCTGCAGCGAGAAGTTCAGATATTTAAAGGCACAGTGCGCCTAGCCCCGGAACCTGCTTATTCTGAGCCATTCGTTGTTATGCCTGAGAGATTTGATGGTTGCTGTGCATCCTTCCAGTACTTTAAGGTGGATTGCAAGTTGTTATTTGCCTTAAAGGACCACTCTAGGCACCCAGACCACTTCAGCTTAATGAAGTGGTCTGGGTGCCAGGTCCCTCTAGGATTAACCCTTTTTTTTATAGTTTATAAATGGGTTAATCCAGCCTCTAGTGGCTGTCTCATTGACAGCCGCTAGAGGCGCTTGCGTGCTTCTCACTGTGAAAATCACAGTGAGAAGACGCCAGCGTCCATAGGAAAGCATTGTAAATGCTTTCCTATGAGACTGGCTGAATGCGCGCGCAGCTCCTGCCGCGCATGCGCATTCAGCCGAAGAGTAGGATCAGAGGAGGAGGAGAGCTCCCTGCCCGGCGCTGGAAAAAAGGTAAGTTTAACCCCTTTCCCCTCCCCAGGGCCCGGCAGGAGGGGGACCCTGAGGGTGGGGGCACCCTCAGGGCACTATAGTGGTCCTTTAATGCCTCAGACATATGCCACTGACTTCATCTTGGTCCGAGCGGCCATCAACCTTCTGTCTGGACGGATCAAAACATGGGCACATCAGATGTTGCAGGCTTAGAGTCCTGTCCCTGACAGTTGGGGATCCTTCATGAGTGCGATGGAAGCGCAGTGCAAGACCTGTATTAAAACCACTGCGAAAAAGGCCAGTCCCACGTACCAGAGGATCCCAAATTCCCAGAAACAGGGAGACCCAGTACCAATGTCAAACCTCCTTGTTGCCTCCTTATGATCCGGTTCCTAGGAAGACTCCAGAGGTATCTAATGTTCCTCTTGACTTCGAGGAACCTAGGGAAATAGGACTTGTCCGGATCAAAGTGACGCATGAAGAAAGAGACCGGAGGAGAAGCCATGGCCTTTGTTTTTATTGTGGAGAAAGGGGTCACTTCATATCTCATTGCCCTGTTCGCCCATCTAAGCTTCCAGCTCTCTGGCTACCACCTTTCTTCGTCTTGCGTTAGCTGCATGCCAGCCTAAAAAGTTTCAAAGAAGCAGTCATTCCTGCCCATTCTTGACCTCCCTGAGAAACTCTCCATCTCCTGCTCCAAAGAAGTCTGCACCTTCTCCTGAAGACACTCCTGTTAAAGCTGGTACCATCACCACTTCCTGTCTGCAAATTATACCTATGCCTCAAATGGTACTAAGTCCGCATATCAGATCTGGAAATATTCGAAAAGGCATTGAAAGCCGCGAACTCTACTGCTTGTGACGTACCTAAGGCAAAAAGTTCAGAGGATATGCCTTCTGGAATCTAGGTACTTACCACCTGCACCTAAATCATCGAAAACCTTGACCTCTCTCCAGTGGTACCAGAAACTGGTACTATAGAGCCCCATGCTTTAAGGAACGCCACCCTGGAGACTTCGATTACAAGGAGTATCTTAGTGATAGTGAAACTGACGATGAGGTGCTATGAAGAGCCTGTTCACGCCCAGAGGGCGTTCTTAAAGGAGGGGTACTGTCACGGAACCATGACATCCAGGCGGGGTTGCCCTAGAAGTGCCCAACAGGGGATTTGAACTGTGGTCCTCACGTGTCTTGCCTCTGAGGCACTTCAGAACTTGTGTATTCTAGCATTGTCTGCAGCACTAGGGGGCTGGACTTCACCAGTGGCTCCTACCTGTCTATCAAAGTCCACCTGAGGCAGATTGATCATTACTCCAGGTAGGTATAAAACACTGCCTCTCCCTGAGGGCAGTGTCAGTTCATTGTATCCCGTTTCCTAAGACTGGCTTGGCTTGTGACCCTTTCTTCTTGGATTATCCGTTATTGCCTGTTCGCTGCATGCCCTGACTTTTGGAACCGTGTCTGACTACTCTTCTGGATTTGCCCTTGTCTGTACCGCATATTGGAAACACCTTTCATGCAAAGCCCCCGTGCACAGATTCACATTTCTGGTGGTTTCTAACCTTATCACCTTGCACTGTGTATATCTGCAAGGGTGAGCACAAATCTCTGCCTACCGGACTCCCAACTAAGGAAAACCATGACAATTTTATTAATATAATTTATATATTATGATTATTACCTGTACAATGTCCTCCTAACTCTGTGCCCTGGGCTATGTCATATTATATTCTATTATTTATTATTATATATTCTGATGATTATTACCTGTAGAAGGTCCTCCGAGCTCGCAGTTCCTCTCCTGGCTCGGTGCCCCAGGCTATGTCATATTATATTATTTAATATATATTCTGATTATTATTACCTGTAGGAGGTCCTCCTGGTTCTTTGCCCTGGGCTATGTCATATTATATTATTTATTATTATATTATTTATTATGATGATTATTACCTGTAGAAGGTCTTCCTGGCTCGGTGCCCTGGGCTATGTCATATTATATTATTTGTTATTATTATTATTATTATAATTATTATATATGATGATGATGATGATTATTACCTGTAGAAGGTCCTCCTGGCTCGGTACCCTGGGCTATTTCATATTATTATATATTTATTATATTATTATTATATATGATGATTATTACCTGTAGAAGGTCCTCCTGGCTCGCAGTTCCTCTCCTGGCTCGGTGCCCTGGGCTATGTAATAGTCGCCCCGGACCCCCTGGATCTTGCCCCACAGGTAGACCCGGGCTAGCTGCATGTCTCTCCGCAGGAGGAGGAGGGAGGTGTGCAGGGCCGCACTCTGCTCGGAGCTCAGACCCTGCCCGGAGCCGGACACCAGATCCAGGGAAACCGGCAGCTTGTCCGCCTCCATTACACCGATACCGGGCTGGGGCCGAGATTACCGATACCGGGCTGGTACCGAGATTACCGATACCGGGCTGGGGCCGAGATACCGGGCTGGGACCGAGAGAACCGATACCGGGCTGGGACCGAGAGAACCGATACCGGGCTGGGACCGAGATTACCGATACCGGGCTGGGACCGAGATACCGGGCTGGGGCCGAGATTACCGATACCGGGCTGGGACCGAGATTACCGATACCGGGCTGGGGCCGAGATTACCGATACCGGGCTGGTGCCGAGATTACCGATACCGGGCTGGGGCCGAGATACCGGGCTGGGACCGAGAGAACCGATACCGGGCTGGGGCCGAGATACCGGGCTGGGGCCGAGATTACCGATACCGGGCTGGTACCGAGATTACCGATACCGGGCTGGGACCGAGATTACCGATACCGGGCTGGGACCGAGAGAATCGATACCGGGCTGGGACCGAGATTACCGATACCGGGCTGGGACCGAGAGAACCGATACCGGGCTGGGACCGAGATTACCGATACCGGGCCGGGACCGAGATTACCGATACCGGGCTGGGACCGAGATTACCGATACCGGGCTGGGACCGAGACTACCGATACCGGGCTGGGGCCGAGATACCGGGCTGGGACCGAG